AAACTTCGACACCTTGAACGACCTGCTAAAACGACAATATGCAATAGCAATAGTGGGTAAAGTACAGAAAAAAAGATCCCCGAATCCTCTCCACATTCTACTCGCTCCATTCCATTCCCTCGGGTTGGCTTTCATGATCATAGACTGTTTTTGACATGTACATACGCAGGGTTGCTTGCTCTTGTTTGCTCTTTTTTAGTTTCCATGATTCAATTAGTTTTATCATTTATTTCTTGGTTTTTCTTTTTCTGCATTCGTCAAAACATCAAAGTGACCATTACCCACTCCAGAGCGAGAAAGTCACAAATGAACTAGCCTACGGATTGGTAGAGGAGGAGGGGTTCGCCGACGTTTTCGATTTCGGGGATGGTGCATTTTAGGTCGAAGGCTTTTGAAAGGACGATTTTGAAGATCTAAAGGGGGGTGTTAGTTTGTGGGTTTGATGAGAGGTGTTTGATGGGGGTCTGATTGTTTGTGGGTGTGTAGTGTAGGTGGTTTGGTGGGTGTTTTCCGGATTTGTGGAGGTGGGGCGGGAAAGATGAGGGATGGGAACGTGAGAAGTCGTTTTTTGGGGATTTTTACCTTTTGGACGTTGATACTGTGACTTGTACTGCTGAAGATAAGACTGGCTCTCATTGCCTTGGCGAACCTCCGGGCCTGAAATAGTGGTTAATACGTAGTCATGAAGGGTGGTCTTGTGACTTACCTGATTCGATATCTCCTCTTGGTCTTCCCGTGGGAAGTTGACGAAATGATCATACTTGGTGCCAACCAGAAATGGAATCGCTGTTTTGTTAAACCCCCGCCCTTGTCTATACCATTCCTTGATACTATTCAACGTGCTCTTCCTCGTTAAGTCGAACATGAATAATATAGCCACGGCGTCGTTGCACACCAAAGGTAACATGTTAACAAACTCCCTCTGTCCTCCCAGATCCCAGATGGAAAATGTGATTTCGGTGTTACGTATCGATATTGTTTTCTCCATGAAATTGACTCCTAGCGTCTGAATGTAATCCTCGTCCCAGCTTCCCTCGACGTATTTCACCATCAGTGATGTCTTGCCTATCTGTGCATCCCCTACCATGCCCACCTTGATCACCACGCTATTCTTATTGCTGTTGCTGTTGTTCCGACTCTGTTCCCCGCCCGCTGCGCTCCGCGAGTTCTGGTCTTGATATGAGGATTGCTGCATGTTTCCGTAACCACCATTGCCAGAGAGTCCTGAGTTGGGTCTTGAGATCGAGGGAGCAAAGGCTGTAGGCGGCGTGGGGTATCTCGCATTTGGATCGACGTCTGGATTTGGTGACGCTGGGTAGCCGCCGTGCTGCTGAGATTGTGAGAACTCTGCCGACTGGGACTGCCCATGTTGTTGTCGATTGCTGAAGCCATTGTTATGGGTAGGGGTGTGCGATTGTGATCCGTCGTCGGTCCCGCCCATTGCATCGTCATGGCCCTCGTTCCGTGGGTCATATGCTCCTTCTGTGTCCATCGTGTTTTCCATGGCGTCGTGAAATTGGGCTGGCGAGCCGGCTGACAATGTCGAGGAATCCAGCTTGTCGGTTTAATCAAGTGAATAAGGCTACGAGGTGCGATACGTTTTGGGGTGGATAGGGTTGTGATGGATCCGCTAGGCGTAGTGAGCGGGAAGCGCAATCAAGACTTGTTTGGTGAGCTTTGCATAGAGAAAAGGCTAGTGAATGAGCCAAAGAATGCAAAGAAGATCATAAGGCGAGGGGAAGTACTCGATGCTTCATACAACCTGTTCGGGATTTATTGAGGGTATTCAGAAAGACAGACACCCCTGGCCGTCGAGATGTCGCGCGGATTGTGTATGTATTGGTGGCGCTACTTTATGCCGAGCGCGTCTAGAGCTGACTTCACGCGATGATTGGGTATCAAGGGCTTGAAAGCACATCTAAAGTTCAACATTACACAATTCATGCTTAGATAAATTGCATTAATTTGATCTCTTCCTTCTTCAGCTTGCCATGGTTGTTGACCTATATTTGAATGTTTGATATGTTTTGTTGTTCACATGTATCCCGGCCGGCTGGATTTTTGGCTTTGGTGGGGTGTCGCTAAACCTGCCACCCCTGCTCGTATGTTCCAAGCCTCCAGAAATGTCCAAGATCAAGAGTTCATAGCTTGACATCACATCACAACAATGGCATCAATTGCACGAACATTACGGCCAGCGGCCTCGAGGCTAGCTGTCGCAGCGAGAGGAAACACAGCTTCATCGATACGCTCTCCATTTGGCGTGCGCGCCTTTTCTGCTACGAGAGCTGGTAAGTTGTTGCGCTTGTAAGCTCCTCGTTGGTCACTGATAGCGGAGCAGCATATGTTAAGAAATACACAAAGGACCACGAATGGGTCGAGCTCTCCGACGACAAGAAGACTGCGACTATTGGTATTTCAGAATACGCTGCGCATGCGCTTGGCGACGTTGTATATGTTGAGCTTCCAACAACGCCAATGGAGGTCAAAGCCGGCGATTCGATCGGAGCGGTGGAGTCTGTGAAGTCGGCTTCGGATATCAACTCTCCCATCTCATGTACAATCACATCTGTCAACTCTCTCCTGGAAGAGAAGCCTGCTACAATCAACAAAGGTCCGGAGGATGATTCGTCTGCTGGTGGATGGGTTGCGAAGGTGGAGGTTGCCGAGGAGGGAGTCAGCGATCTGGATGGTCTGATGGATGGGGAGGCTTATAAGAAGTTCACAGAGGAAGAGTAAAGTGCTCGAAGTGTATAGGGCTCAATTCAACAGTGGCCTCGAGGTTTTGAGGGATGTTATAGATTTCAACATGGCAACAAGATTTACAGTTGAAACGCCATATCAGAGCAAATCTACCGCCCGGCCAGGACAGTCTATGCTTTTCGAGTTGTCAACTCCTCGGCTTAGTATTACAATAAAAACATTTACGCACCGCCACCCTCCTCTATGATCGGCCGATTGAGATTAATAGCCTCGAGAATCTTTGAAGCTCCTTTTTCTACCAAGGCTTGGGCCACATCCCAACCGAATTGATCTGCGTCCTTTTCGTTGAGGATCTCCTCTAATCTCTCTGTTTCTACGCTCTCCTTTCCGTCTAGACTTACAACGATAGCTTTCATCAGGAGCTTACCCTTTTCAATCCAGGTTGTCTCAACACCAATCGGCACGCTACATCCACCCTCCAGAGTGCGCATTAGACTTCTCTCTGCAAGACCAGCAAGACTGCTGTCTTTATGGTTCAGATCGGCTAATATGTTAGCTATCTTGTCGTCCCCTTCCCGAACTTCAATGGCGAGCGCCCCTTGACCGACGGCATGTAGTAGTCCTCCACCAGGTGTCTTTGAATCCAGGTATTGTGTAATTCGATGACCCCAGTCCATACGAATGATTCCAGCGGCGGCCAAAATCAAGCATGAGTATTCGCTATCTTCAGCGTCGAGCTTAGCCAGCCTCGTTCCGATATTCCCTCTAACATCCTTGAATTTTAGCCCTGGATACTTCATCTTGACTTGTGCACTCCGGCGAACACTACTCGTTCCAACAATCGCGCCATCAGGTAGTTCACCAAGAGTCTTATACTCCAGTCCCTTTTTCATAACCACTACATCCCTCGGATCTTCGCGCTCTGTAATACATCCAATCGTACACTTTTTAGGCAATTGTGTAGGCATATCTTTCAGACAATGAACAACGATATCCAGACTTCCGTCCAAGAGCTGCGCTTCCAATTCGTGGGTCCACAGACTCTTTGCGCCGAAATCGTGTAGAGCAGTAGTTTGATTCTTGTCGCCCATTGTCGCCATCGCATGGATCTCGTAGGTAACTTCCGGGTGAGCTTTCTTCAACTCCTTCATGATCATCTCCGCTTGAACCACAGCTAGCGCTGAGCGTCTAGTGCCGATATTGATTTTCTGGGTTGAGAGGGATGCCTCTTCAGCGTTGCGCTTCAATGCTGTGGAGGGAGCTTCATCTTTTGAGGATTTTTCCTGCTTGCTGACTGTTGGGTCAAGAATCGGTCGCGAGGAAGTCGATGGCAGTTGTTCGTGTGTTGCCATCTTGAAAGAGCGAATGGATCAATCGAACAAGCCGTCCGGATATATCAAGTGTTGAGATGGGGGGGTAGTGTTGTCCTCTGGAATTTTGATTGAGGTTGGTGGGGTCGATGAGGTGGTGCAAGCGAACTCCGTCACCGAGGCTTGTACTTCCAAGTTGTACCAACGTACCGATTTTATAACTGCTTTCTTATGAGCGATGATTCAAAAGTGAATCCAATTGCGCACTTCTCGTAAGACGAGCAAAGAGCAGTTGAATTTAATCGCATCAGATGTTTGCAACAGGGTATTTAAAATACAAGTCACATCACATCATCTTCTCACTTATTGAGCCCAGACCTAAAAGATATAATAAGAGAAGAGAAGACCGATTTCTAATATCTTATTTTCATACTGCTAGTCATATAGTCTTCCGCCTGCTCAAGTCAAGTTATCCTGTTTCATTTTTTCGATCCTCTCTGCTTTTCTCACAGGGCTGAATATCCCTGCTCGGTCGTACAGCTTTACGCGATTCAACACCAAAAGTCGCGTCTTCCCGTCCAGGCTTCGTCCTTCAATCGAACACCATATCAAACACAATGCCACCACGTAAACGCAAAGACGAGGAAGAAGAGCTCGTGGACGAGGAGCCACCATCTATCGAACCCTACAAAGTTCTTGCTCTGGAAAAGTCTGCTACTGCCGACGAGATCAAATATGCATATCGAAAGGCTGCGCTGAAACACCATCCAGGTATGTATCATGCAGCGCTCGCGAGCAGCATTGCACATTACTTACTAATTTCTCCCAGACAAGGCTCCTGAGCATCTGAAAGATGAAGCTCATACCAAATTCCAGGAGATAGCATTCGCGTATGCCGTCTTGTCAGATCCCATCAGACGGAAACGATATGATGTGACCGGCTCAACATCCGAATCTATTGACGCCGATGGTTTTAGTTGGTCTGAGTTTTACTCGGAGCAGTTCAAAGACGTGATAACCTCAGAAGCTATCGAGATATTCTCCAAAGGATACAAAGGATCAGATGAAGAAAAGGATGACCTCTTGGACGCTTACACGAAGGCTAAAGGTAAATGGAGTGGCATATATTCAACGGTCATGCTCAGCGATCCTCTTGAAGATGAAGATAGGTTCAGGGAAATCATTGATAAAGCTATCGCGCAAGATGAGGTCAAGCCATTCAAAGCATATACGGGTGAGACAGAGAAAGCAAAGGAGAACAGAATGAAGCAGGCGAGAAAGGAGGGCAAGGAAGCTATGGAGTATGCCCAAGAACTTGGGGTTGCTGACAAGTTATTTGGAAAAAGCAAAGGAAAGAAAGATAGTGGTGAGGATGGGCTAGCAGCTTTGATCAGAAAGCGTCAGGCCGACCGAGGCTCTTTCTTCGATAATCTGGAGGCAAAATATTCGAATGAAAAGAAGCCAAAGAAAGGAAAAGGGAAGAAGAGGGTCTCGGAAGACGAGGATGATGAAGATGAAATGCCATCGGAGGAAGCTTTTCAAGCCGCTGCAGCGAGACTAAAGAGCCAGGCTGGCGATGAGGAAAAGCCTAAGAAGAAGCGTGCAAAGCGTTGATTTTTTCGATGGTTTGTGCATACTGCAATGCAAATATGGCGTTATGGACGGATGGCATGGATAATCGATTATGGATGAAAGGCCTGAAGCGTATTTACGGAAATGGATATTTCAGTTAATTGATAACTTTGAAAGCCTGCAAATGGAATCACGGTACCTCTAACAGTGGATGTATTTTTATCAATATAATTTTTGTTCCACTGTCTTCTTCTGGAACTCAGGACGTGGGGGCATGCGGGAAGCGAGCTCCCCGTGACCTCGTTCTTGTTTCGTGCTCGACCAAAACGCGTCTCCCCAACAACATCATTATCAAGTCCATCTTACAACGTCGACTTTCGGTGTGGCAACACCTGTGCATTGTATCTTCCTCATCATGCCATGACATCTGGTCTTAGGAAACCCGACATCTACCCCGAGTATTGCCATGAGCTGTCTCCTAGCATCAAAAGATGGTGCCCCTTGCGCGCGATTGATGTCCATGATCTTGCTGAATGGGGCATGTTCAGCAATGGTAAGTGTCTCCAACCTACGTTCACTACGAACCAACGTTGTATCTTGTTGAACGATGCATGCTTCGATAGTACAGACTAACAGATTCTATCATTCAGGCCGACGTTTATACCACCATGGCAATCATCCCATAAAATGGGTTCGTCTTACGGGCCTTATCGTTGCGGTCGATGAATTCGCCAAAAAGAGGGTATACACTCTTGATGACAGCAGCGGAACGTGTATCGAATGCATTTGTCCAGCTCCCCCTACCGCCGCCGAAGAAGCCATTGCCGCAGCCACAACCAATACTGTTGTCATTACCAAGAAGTCAAATGAAACTAAGGCCGTCGTCAACGATGGACCTTCCGTCACCAATCCCAATATTCCCTGGGATGATCTCGACGTGGGCACAGTGGTTAAAATCAAAGGGGGGATCAACACATTTCGAGATCAGAAGCAGGTTGAGATCATCAAGGTCGAGGTTCTTAAGAGTACAGATCAAGAGGTTAGATGCTGGAATGAAGTTTTGGAATTCAGGAAAGATGTTCTTCGCGTTCCATGGATTTTAACTCCAGAGCAGGAGGAGAAATGTAGGAGGAGGGCGATGAAGGAGAATTCACGTGCATTGAAGAAGAGTTCGAGTAAAAAGCATGGGGAGATTAAAGATAAGAAGCTGGAAAGAGTTAAATATGGAAGTGATAAAGGAAAGCGGTCATCGAGCACTACAGCACATTCGAGTATCAAAAGATACAGAGGAGATGAGACGAGGAACATGGTGAGCGTAAGGGAATCAGCAAGAGCAGAACACAGACAATCACGTCCACGGCATACAGAAGATGAGGCCAAGAAGAAGCATCAGACTCGACAGGATACCACATATCGATATAAAACTTGAAAATTGAGAGCGTTGCCCACGTTTGGATACCACTATATGCTGACGGCTGCGCAAAAAATCATCAGCAAGCAATTGCCCGCGGCCGGCGACACCATTTGGAATATCATCATCTCATGAACCAGGACACGTAATCAACCGTCTTACGCCAGCAAGTAAGACAGCAGCCATCCTATTCCTGCCAATTCTCACACTGCCACCCGCTCGTTGTAATCTTGTCGCTAATGGAAGGAGGATTTGCTTTCACTCAAACGAGAAGGCGAGTACATGATGAATACAGACCTTGGCAAGGCAAAGAAAATCATCTCCAAGAGATTTGCACAGCCCAAACGAATCAAACAGACTTGATATCAGGAAGGTCTTCTTTGAAAAGTCCTGGGAAGGCTCTCCAGTAGGCAACTCACCTCCTGCCAAGATAAGATCAAGAAACTCATCTTTTTGTCAAATAAGAATTGCCTCGGGCGCCAGTTTTCTTATCCATCGGCTTTCAATCCGATCTGCAAGGGCTTTACCCAGACAGCCCACTTATCAAGCACTCTGCTTTCTTCGATGCACATGTGGCGGTGGAATAGCCAATCGACAAGCCAAAGAGTTCTTCGTCGCGTGCCAAGGGAGGCTGTGCAGGTCGAAAGAAACTGGGAGATCCAGTCCTAAAGCTACGTCAGCTGCCCAGTATGGTCATAGCTTCTCTATTCGACATTGGGGTTTAGGAACTTGTGCTTATGGTAATGTGTTTTTGGAATAGTACAAAATTGAAAAGTTTTATTATTATTGAAGTTTTGTTCGCAGAGCTTCTGCCACGTACAAAGAAATATTTTATACAGATAAACGAGGCCGCGTAGAAGCAGTACATCATGTTGCACTACAGGAAGCTATCCTGAAGCTCGGGTACGAGTAGGACGTAAGCAACGGCTGCTCAGAATCAAGGAAGTGACAAGAGTTGGCAGCTGGACTCTAGAGCTTGAATGCATATGTACTTCTCTCCAAGACACAATATACAACGACAGCGATTGAAGTAGCTGTGAATAACTCTTCAACATATTTTCTTCTTGCAGCTTCAAATCTGCCCTTCTCCTGCAATTGCATCCAACCGCTACCCAACATTCCTGCGCGTTGACGACACACGAAGGTTTCCAAGGTCCCAGTTGCTACAGCATTGCAGCAACCACCCGTTGCACCTGCTCAAATTTGCGCCTTTCCCTCGTAGTCCGCCGTCCATCTGATCAATCAATTGCCAATCCCAAGTGCTCGAACGCTCTTCGCCCGGCAGAATCCAAACCTTACAGTACCTTACACTTACCTTTCGTCCTTTCACAAACGAGGCGCAGCAAGCTTCAAGATTGTTTCCCCGCCAAACCCGAACCTGCAAACATACACACTTTTGCCCACACCCCAAGCAATTTGTGAATTGCCAAGATGGTCGGTAAGTGAATAACATGATACATTTCCTTCTCCCCTCCCTTCTCCCCATCGCACACAAGTCATCCAACTTGTTCCTGGATTCCTGGGTTATCGCCGCTGCTGTCTCGATCAATTTTTCCACAAAAGCGCACCGCATCGCTATCGCCTGCAGTCAGTCCAGCATCTTTTCCAGCAAAGCCAATCGAATGACGTTGCGGCCCGACACTAGAGCTACCACACTTGACACTCGATCGCATCAACTCTCTACTAATCCACCCAAGCTTCAAAGCTTCTCGACCTTCCTTTCCTTGACCAACATTTAGCTGTCATCCATTTTCATTGTGCCGGCACATCGCAACAGCTTCGCCCGTCCATATCGCAACCAACAACACATTGCTCGTGGCACATTCTCCTTTGTTGTCATCAAGCCTTAAGCCAAGAGGCCAAGCCAATCTGTCTTTGGATTGGAGCGCTGAACTTCACGAAGCTAATTTCCGTTTGTCTTTGACATATTTGTAGTCTCGACGGACTTTCGAAAATCTCTCTCGCGTGCGAAAACTACTACACGCGATCGCCTTACGGGTCGAACGAACATCATGAGCCCCAACAACGGGAATGCGAGCGAGGAGACGGGGCTTTTGAGCGGACAGGAGAACGGAGCAGCGTCGCGCAAGCTGTCGATACGGGATTTCTTTTTAAACAAAACCCATACACCGGGAGAGAACAGCGGAAATAAGTTCGTAAGGGTTCCTGCTAGAGCTTTCAATGTTACTAAGGTCACATTGTTCAGCAACTATGTCAATATCCTCCTGGTCTTCGTACCGTTGGGTATAGTTGCTGGCGCAGGTGGTTGGAACCCGACAACTGTTTTCATTCTCAATTTCTTTGCAATCGTTCCATTGGCAGCCGTCCTTTCTTTTGCGACGGAGGAAATTTCTTTAAAACTTGGTCAGACCATGGGAGGGCTATTAAATGCTACCTTTGGCAATGCTGTAGAGCTCATTGTAGGTTCTCAAAGCAGCATCGAAACTTGCGGATCGACTAATTATGGTGCTAGGTCAGTATCGTCGCCTTGAAGAATGGTGAAATCCGAATTGTGCAATCAAGTATGCTGGGAAGTATTCTGTCCAATATCCTCCTGGTTTTGGGTTGCTGCTTTTTAGCCGGTGGCATTCACAACACTAGAACAGGTACAGCACAAGGTATTGAACAGGGCTTTAACATGACAGTCGCATCCACTATGTCTTCCCTTATGGCGGTTGCGTCTGCCTCTTTGATTATTCCTGCAACTGTAAGTCTCATGCTGCTTCTAAAGAATAACATGCTAAATATTTTTAGCTGTATGCCGCACTGTCCAAATCTGAAAGCACGACAAAAGATAATATCCTCATTTTATCTCATGGCACGGCTATCATTCTTTTGATCCTTTACATTATGTATCTTGTTTTCCAATTAAAGACACATGCCCGACTCTTCGACGGCGAAAGCGCGGACGACGAGGAGGACCCAGAGGAACCACAAATGAGTCCTTGGGCTGCAGGTGTTATTTTGGTGGTTGTTACGATTGCGGTTGCAATTTGCGCCGAATACCTTGTCGACTCCATCGAATCTGTTGTAGAGACCATGCATATCTCCAAGACCTTCATCGGTCTTATCCTTCTTCCAATTGTCGGAAACGCTGCGGAGCATGTCACCGCTATCGTTGTAGCTTTGAAGGACAAGATGGATTTGGCAATCGGAGTTGCTATTGGAAGCAGCATGCAGATCGCTCTATTAGTCACACCTTTCTTGGTCATTCTCGGCTGGATCATGGATATTCCAATGACTCTTCACTTCGAGACCTTTGAGACTGTTGTCTTTTTCTTGAGTATGTTGGTTGTCACTTATACGATTCAAGATGGAAAGAGCAACTATTTGGAAGGTGCCATGGTAAGCTGTAATTCCCTGATATATATGGATCTGTATGCTAACCATGTCAGCTACTTGGACTCTACTTCATTATTGCACTCGCCTTCCTTGTCTACCCCGATGATGCCACAGACACCCCTGGCAATGTTGTGCTCGTCACAAGAGCAGTCGTTGGATCCGCGAAATCTGCACTTGGAATGTAAAGGATTTTCGTTCCGAAATTGAATTGCAGACAAGTGGGTTTCTCGTATATCCCAACTTATCGGAAAAGGCCGTATTTTGATGGTCAAATCGTGCTATTTGAGGCAGATGAGTATTTATTGGCTTATTGGGACTACTTTCTGCTGAGAAGGTTTTCAGTAGATGAATCTTGGTAACGGCGGTATGGACTCGAGTGAGGTTCGGAGATCGATGGATTTGGCAAAGAATGGCTGTTGTTCATATTGGGGACCGGGGAGTGTGACAGTATATATTTGTATGATATGGGCAGCGTACGGTTTCTTGATGGCGCCGGGAGGAGTTCTTGTTCCCAAAATCTTAGCCTTGAGAACATTTATCTTGCAATATTTCGCCAGACTGTAGTTGTGAGGTGGACTAACACGTTTGGACCGTTCAAGTATGGCTGTTCCCGTACGCATGCATATGAGGTCATCTGATTGGCTGCAGGTAGTACTTGTCACTTTCAGATATCACGTTTCCCTTATACTCTAGCAACCATCAACCATCCACTCAACTCTCATAAACCATGTCTTTCACCCTTCTCTCCCTCTCCATTTTCCTCACCCTTCTCACCTCACTTCTACTCCATCACCTCCTCTCACCCCACTCCCCCTCCACATCTAACCTCCCAGGCCCATCTCACACAAGATACACCTCCCTCCCCCTCCTCTACCACGAGTTCTCCAGCACCAGACGACTCTACATCCACAACTTACACATCAAATACGGTCCGATCGTCCGCATCTCCCCAGGTGAAATCAGCATTCTCTCTCCCTCCGCCCTCAAAACAGTATACGCCAACTCCGGGGGCTGGGAGAAAAGCCGTTTTTACGATTTGATGAGGATTAGGGGTGTGAGGTTTGTCTCCCGTCGCCTTTCTACTTGGGTTGGGGGTGACTGGGTGTAGGACTATGTTTTCGAGTCTTGGGAAGGTGCAGGTGAGTTTTTGATGCGCAGGGGAAGGGGGGAGGGAGGGGAGGCGGGGCTGATGATATGTAGCATAAGATGAGGAAAAGGGGGGTTGCTGGGGGGTATGCTAGGACGAGGGTTTGGGGGGAGGGGGTGCTGGAGGGGGTTAGGGAGGGGGCGGGGGGGTTTGTGGGGAGGTGTGAGGGCTGGGGGATGGGGGAGGAAGGGGTGGATGTTTATGTGAGTTGATTTTTGTTTGGGATGGAGTTGGTGGAAGCGATGTTAACTTGTGGATGTTGTTAGGTTTTGTTGCATTGTTTCGCTCTGGATTGTGCAACTCATTTCATCTTTGGGAAGTACGGGACGCATTCGCTTGAGAATCCAGAAGACGAGAAGCTCATGCGGGAATTGAGTTTCCATTCTAGTTTGAAGAGTAAACTCCTTTCATTCCCTCTGTCTTATCGAATACTAAACCGAATGCAGAAAATCTGCTACATCTTCATTTCCCAACCCTCGCCAAACTCCTAGGTAGATTAGCAGAACCACGTCCAACCCCCCTTACCGATGCTTACGTCCAAAGCACCGCTCAGCAAACCGATGCTGGGGAGCACACACTTTTACATACTCTCCAAACCGCATCAGAGAATCTAGGAGAAGATGTGATAGTTGCAGAATGTCTAGATCATCTAGCAGCAGGCATAGACACCACAGGCGACGCGCTCTGTTTTCTTCTTTATCAACTCTCACTCCCCGAGAACTCTGCCATTCAGGATAAACTGGCGGACGAAGTTCACAATAATAGAGAGCAGAACTTTGAAGATTTACCTTATCTTGATGCTGTCATCATGGAAAGTCTCCGTTTGTATCCGCCGATCCCAATGTCTCAGCCTAGAATCGTGCCGAAAGGCGGGAGAGTGGTTGATGGGTGGTTTGTGGCAGAGGGTATGGTTGTTGGGGCGCAGGCTTGGAGTGTGCATCGTCTTAATGGTGTGTTCAGCGATAGCGAAAAGTTTCAGCCGGAGCGGTGGCTGGATACTGAAAGCAGGAGGGAAATGGAAAAGGTATTTTTTGCGTTTGGGATGGGGAGTAGGGGGTGTACTGGGAGATTGTAAGTTTTTAATGCATTTCTATTAATATTTGAAAAGTTGAAAGCTGATTTTAGAAGTTTGGCGATGGCGGAGATGAAGATACTGGTCAGGGCGGTGTATGAAAGGTTTTGTACGAGTGTTGTGGGGGGTTCAATGGGGGATATGGAGGTTGAGGATCAGATTATTAGTAGTCGGCCGAGGGGACACAGGTGTGTCGTTAGGTGTGAGGAGAGGAAGTGGTGACTGGGGTAAGTTTATTTTAGTAAGTTTATGTATGTTCAAACTTATTATTACTGCTAACTTCTCGAGAAAGAGAACTAATTCATTTCTATCGTAGCATATATATCTACCTCAAATTGGAAGTAAAAGACCAAGTGTCGTGTGGCACATATTGTGATCACGAGGAAGTTGCGAGTACTGGTTGGGCGTCAAGCGAGATCCTCAACCCAACGTCTGCCAACTCATCCTATATCGTTCGTACTCATTGGTGAACAAAGATCTTATCTTGATATCACCAGGTTCTGTCGGCCATATGAATATCTGGCGCCTCATTACCACTTTGCCACAAGCCTCAAATTATTTGATCCGATGTCATCTCGTCTCGCACCTATCGACTGGCAAGGAAAGCGACGTTCTTTGGGCGCCTCGCCCAATCTACAGCACGCAAATCTTACTGTTCTTTTATCGGGTTTTACTGCAATCCAGTTCCCGGCTGTAACCCTAAATTATGGCGAATCAAACGACTGTTACTTTGCAGCCGTAGGGTAGGAAGTTGCGTTCACCTTGACTCATCTACGTACCTTTAATACCTAAGCATGCCAGCACTCACACTATGTCTTCGCTATCAGCGACATGTACAACTAAGTCGTCCAAATAAGAGTCTGACTTCATGACAATAAGCGAAATATTTCCTCTCAAATTTCAAGTATTGCTCACGGATTGATCGCGATGGCAGAAACAGAGGCAAAAGACCGCATACCTACTGGCCCCCAATTTTCAGAAGCTGTAGCTTCTTTCCTATACGACTCGCTCAACGATGCGACGAAAAGTCTTGTCGTTCGACTTAAGAATCCAGAAAGTAGACCTAGTCAAGATGAAGATCACACACCACCTGGATCGGAGACTGGGTCTGATAGTCCGCTATCTTTGTTCAATGTCCCGCATTCGAGGAATAAGAAATTCTGCGGAAGAGTGGAGGCTTTGAAGGAGTTGTTTGCGATGTGGAAACCGAAAGCTCAGAATAGGATTGCTATAGTGGGGTTGGGTGGTATTGGGTAAGTCGTGATTACCCTTGAATTGATCGAGCAGCATGTTAATCATTCTTACAGCAAAACAGAATTGATGATCGAATTTGTCTATCGACTGCGAGACGTCTCTCCAAAAACACAAATCTCCTGGTTTAAGTCAGAAGATCTTCTCACCACACCGGAATCAAATTCATCCTCGACGACTGGAATGCAGCTGGATCGGTGGCTCAAACTAGAACACAATGTCGACAGCTTGGTTGTTGTTGATACTGCGGATGATTTTGGAAAACTTCTTCAGAAGTCCGAGGGTGATGGGAACCTGCTCGAGGAGTTAAAAGCTTTCAGCGGCAGCGTAATTGTGATGGCGAGAAATACTCAAACTGGACGACAATTGGCCGGTCCTAATGGTCTTTGCGAAGTTGGAGAACTAGATGAAGAAGCATCAACAAAGCTTCTTCGTGGTAGTCTTGGACCATTAGCACATAGTACCTCATCAGAACTTGAAGAGGTTGCCCAGCTGATGGTCTACTTGCCTCTAGCTATTCTTCAGGTTGGAAAGTTGATCACAAGCGCCGGCATGACAGTTGCCCAATTCTTGTATCTATACAAAAGCAGCCCCTCCATGAAGCTCCGTTTGTTTGGTAAGGTGGATCGGTTTTCAAATCCGGATCCTCGCTTTTCGGTCACTGGACAAGGGGTCGTGGATGTAAGAGCTTTCCGAAGCGAATTTCCGGACGCGACAAGGATTTTATTTCAGCTCTATTACCTAGGTGGTGATCTGGTGCCTCTTGCTTTGTTCTCAGCTACTGATCCTCTGGACATGCTCATCATTATGTTTATCCTCAAAGGCCATTTCTTCGTCGCAGAAGTCGGGTCGAGCGGGACATATACGCTTCATCCTCTCGTCTGCCTAGCAATGCAGAATCTGTTCAAGAGCGTACGGCCAGAAACCGACAAAGAAGATGTCGTGCAAGAGCGAAAGTGGTTCGAGGAAATAATGATAACATTCTCAGAATGGTATCCTGATGCGGAAAGCGAAGACCGGGCTTGGTGGAGGACTTGCTTCGCCCATATCCTGAACGATTGCGATCTTCAAGTCAACTCTTTGCGTCTAGCTATTGCTAAAATCCACCGAAAAGAAGCTGCTTATTTCAAGCGAAGGGGTGGGTATCTTGATGCTTTGAGAATGACCAGTTTGGCTAAGGATGTTCTTTCTGTTTCCTCCACGGCCGAACATCTAGGTGTTTTACAGGATCAGATTGAGTTGCTGGATATTCTCGGGAGGTATAGAGAGATCAAAAGTGCCTTGGAAATATATCCGGTTGACGAAGAAGAACAAACTGTGCTGTGGAGGAAGAGAATTCAAGCGAGACTGGATCAAGCACAGGGTGTGGATCGCTATGATTCTGCTATTACGACTTTCAAACTTATCAGTGATGCTCGGGACGGACCTAACAACTCAAAAACTGATTTACTACAATCTATCGACGATTACGGCTGGGCTCTTATGCTCAAAGGGTGTTGTCAGGAGGCTTCAATTAAATGTCGATCCGCGCTTGCCGGACGCACGTCAAGTTTCGGAATATCGCACACTGATACCCTTTCGAGTCTGCGACACTTATCTTGTAATCTTCGACTGCAAGGCAAGTACGAAGAAGCACTCCAATACGCACATCAAGCAATCCGCGGAAGTGAAATACTTCTTGGAACGAATCACCCGACAACCCTCCTCGCACAAATCACCAAATGCAAGATCCTCCTCGCCACAGCTGTCACGACCGAAGATCTCGATAATTTAGAAGCACTTCTGGTAAATAGTGCCAACCATCTCACACCCATTATCTCGGACAACCACCCTGTTATCCTGACGTGCAGGTCTGATCGCGCCCTGATCAAACAACGCCTTGGCAAATATGCTGCTGCGGAGCAAATGAATCGAGCAACTCTGTTATCACGAGAATCAGGACCTTGGGAACACTCGCAACGCAATCCAGATACACTGACGAGCAAACATCAACTCACGGAATTGCTATTCCTAAAAGAAGGAGCCAAAGCCGCTGATTTACTGAGCGAGGAAGTCTGCCAATTACGAACCGAAGTCCTGACGAGCGGCACGTTAAAAGAAGAGGATTTTCATCCTGATCAACTCTCGAGTTTACATCTTCGTGCAATGATTCTCTCGGAACTAGGTCAACACAACGAAGCGCTTGAGGAAATAAGCTTGGTTCTTGAAGCTCGCTTGAGTCTCTTGGGGGCCAATCATTCCGATGTATATTCCACACAAACCTCCAAAGCGGAGATTCTACGCCTACAACTCCCTTCCGAGACTCCCAAACGCACTATGATGCTCAACGAGATTGATTCCCTGAATCGCACTGCTCTAGATGGTCTCACCCAAATCTTTGGCTCACAGCATCAATCCACTTTGAGAGCTCTCACTCATCTTGCGCTCGGAAGATCTGAAAGAGGCAAAGATGGCCACGAGGAAGCGGCGAGTTTGTTGGGCGTGGCGTATATTGCGTATCGGAATAGTGTCGGCGACGAACATCCTGAGACATCTTGGGCCAAGGGAAGATTGGCTGACGCGCTTGGGAGGGTCGGGAAGTGGGATGAGGGGAGAAGGTTGTGGAGAGAGTGTGTTGGGGGATGGGCCAGAGCGGAGGGCGTGGGAAGTTATTTATATGGAAGGGCTTGTGGTGGGTTAGAGCGTTTTCTGGCGAGGGAAAGGGATGTGATGGGGAGGGAGATGGTGGTGATAGGGAAGGAGAGGGTGAGGGAGGTGGTGCGAAGTGGGAAGGTGGAGTGACTTTTCGGGGGGAGGAAAGTTGGGAGAAGGGGGAGGGGGAAAGCTAAAGGTAGTGGAAGGGCAAAAGCGAGGGGTGGGAGAGGGAGGAAGGGGTTGAGATGGGGGAGGGTTTGTAGGTTTAAGCGAGATATATAGAGGGGTGGATTCTCGCTTAATTGTTTAAATTTCGGTGGACAAGATGTACGATGTGGTATTGTTTGGATGTTTTAGTAGTACACTCTTTATCAATTTCATAAGTTAGCCAGACATTATAAAGGATCTCCTATGCTACATCAGCCGTCCAGTAAAATACATGTAGGACCCTTGTCACCCATCATGTTATGAAACATCTCCATCTAAGCATCCTCGAAAACTAGAAGACTCTGAACACCAACTCTTCCAAAACCGCGCTTTCGCAACAGTTCTCGCCCTTGATGCACAGGAAACTCAGCAACAACCATAGCATTAACATCTTCAACACCCACACCATCCTCACCCAACAACTCCAAAACCGCACAAAGCGTCACCCCCGTCGCAAGCACATCATCAACCACCAACACCGACGAACCACCAGGAATCAAACCCCTCTCCATCTCAATCCGCTTCTCCTCCCCCTCCCCAGTTCCCACAGAAGAAATATGCGACCTCGGCTTTACCACAGAAACAACCGGCGGCGGAAGCTTCCCAGCCTCACGAATCAGCACTAACGGCACATTGACCCGCGATGCTAATGCTGAAGCATAGATAAAGCCGCCGGCCTCGCAGCATACGATGGCGTCGTATTTGCAGTTGATGTGGGATTCGAGGAGTGAGGTGCAGAGTGCCAGTCCGCCTGGTTGTTGGGCGATCCCGAGGATGTGGGCGAAGTTGATGGGTGGGTGGGGGAAATTGGGGATGTGACGGACTTGTTTGGTGAGGCGTTCCAGGTCTGTGTGGAGGATGGGGAGGAGGTGGGTTTCGAAGAATTGCTTTGGGGGGTTGGTGCCGGGTTTGTTGTTGTGGAAGGTGAAGGTGGGACGGTAGTTTAACCTTTTTGGAGGACCATCATTATGAGAGGTATAGTTGCCAATACCGTAATGACCTCGACGAATCTGGCGCGTCTGTTGGCTTGTCTCGATATACACCTCAATCAACCTACTATCTGGCACCAAATGCGAATATCGTGCAACTGGAGCATCTTCTCTCATTCCGCTGATCATGAGCACATCTACATCACTGGCAGCTTGAACTGCATCGAGAAATTGCTCGCTCAGCATCTGAGGTCGTTGCTTTAACTGTTCATTAAAGAAAGCTGTCAATGCCTCCCGATGTTGCTCCTTGTATGTACGGTCGTTGAGGAGGAGAGTGATACTGGCACCAGTAGCTACCGCATATTCTCGCTTTGTCGCACTGCTGATACTGACTACCTTTGCTTTGACACCAGAGCATCTGTTAAACGCGGACAGCCAGATTTCAGCACAATAGTCTTTCCCGGCGAAACTCTCTCCCGTGATGAGAATAATGAGTCTCTGCTTCGTCGTGGCTCTTGGCAAGGGGCAAGCGTAAGCGAGAACGTTATGCGGGTCGAAGTCTCTTTTGAGTTTCGCTAAGCGCGGTAAATTGGGTCCAAAAGCTCTAGCCGCAAGCGCGGCATCTCTGGGATCGGGGCCAAGATCCGCGCCGTAGACTCCACAGCTCAACGACGACAAGTCTTCAACGACACTATAGACCCATGTAACAGCAGCTTGAGCAACCTCGCCGCCGTCTTGATCGCGCGGCCAGACACTGGTTATTACGCAGGCAAAGTCCCAGTCTCGACATCCGAAGGCGGTGGCTTCAGGTGCAATGTCGGTGACTGCACCACCACCGTGAAGGAGATGGAGATAGCAAAATGATGCGGGGCGAGCTTCAATGGCAGCTATCAAGCGATTCGCGATATTGGCTTCTCCAATGTTCTTTAAGAATACGCACCGCTTGAATGAAGAGGTCTTTCCACCGCTGTGACCTCCGTGCATTCTCGACATGTACATCTCTGTGTCAAATAATCCGACGGCATCCACGATCTGGTATCCGTGTTCCATACCCAGAACAGCGCTTACGTCTCCAGACGTGTGTGTGGTATAAGAGATTTCTTTCGTTGAAGATTCATAAACAGTTACGCCAAGATGTAGTTTACCGGCGTCCCAGTACAGGTAGGCGTCTGCAGAATTATTGCGGGTGAGCTTCTTCGCGACAACACTATCAAACTCATTGAGTTTAATCTCTGCTTCGCGGCTGTTCTTCAGTGGGAGGATCCAATTTCGAGTCAAGAATTTTAGGGCTTTGTGAGACTCGAAAGTCACGCTGACGACGATGCCAAAGTTGGTCCCGGCACCTTTTATCGCCCATAGTAAATCAGATTCGTTTTCGGCGAGAACAGCACCAGCTGGCCGGTATTGACTCGGTACACAACCAGCATAAACAATGTGACCAGAACTGACGCTGACTACGACCGCACCGACAATGGAGTCGCACGCGAGGCCGTGTATTCTGGCAAGATGTCCGATGCCGCCTTGTAACCAGAGTCCTGCACCAACACTTGGGCGAGATCCCAGTGGAACAGTTACACCCGCTCCCATAGTCGAACCAATGATGTCGCCTGTCTTGCAACCAGCCTCGACGACAACCAAGGGGCCGGAATTTCGATTCAAGTCTTGTGCGCTCTGCTCTTCTGGCAATATGTGTATTGCGTTGAAGTTGCTCATATCGACCGCAACAACGTTAGGCCAGAGACATTGACCACCGTGACCTCCACCAATAACAGTCAAGCCAACTCCATGCTTCAGAGCCCAACGGACGCATTGCTGGACATGCCGAACCTCAGTTGGTCGCATGATTGCCGCAGGGCGATGGAGGCGGGCTTCCCTGTTTTTGACGGCCATTTTCTCCGTGGCTGATGGAACTTGCCGCATCAATTCTGGCAAGGCAGCCGAGATCTGAGTAAAAGCCGCCATAATGTTAGGCGAGCTAAAGAAGAGTCGATTCGGCTGGGATTGTTCGCGACGGCCTAGTTTCCGGCACACTTTAAGCCATTCGACCTTGACAGTACTCTCTGCGTCTACGTCGTCTATAATGTACCCTGCGATGAAAGCAGCAAAACTATATAGCGATTCGTTGTCATCTGCGACACTCAACGCTCCATCTGGAAAAGAAGCTGTTTGATGGCAAACTAAGCCATTGAGAGGTAGGATTCCGCCACGATGGAAAACAATTACCAGGGCATCCAACGGCCGCTTGACGAGCAGCTCAATCGCACGTTTGATAAACTTTTGTTTGGGACTCATGCCATACATGCTGTGGCAGAAGAGAATGATATCGAATTTCTCATCCTCGTCGCTAGCATCACCTGTTGTTGTGTTTGTCTTTAAAGCAAATGGACTCCGATTAATCATAGCCGACCCTTCAAGACAAGGCAGGAATGCTTGTCTTTCGGCAGTCGAGGAAAGAGATTTTTCCAAGCCCGTAGCGAACAACTCGATCGGCTCGTACGCTGTGTATTTGCTTATTTGCTTTCTCAAGCTGCTAGGAAGGTGGCCAAGTATGCTTTCTGGGCCTGGTCCAATCTCTAGCACTGATATCCCGTTACGCGATTTGCAGATGGGAGCTAGTAACTTGTAGAGTTGAGGGATGATGAAGTCCTCGTACGTTTCCCATTCTGAGTATCTCAAGGTATCAAACGCATTAGCGTATTGTGAGTCGGAGAGTGGGATTTTCAAAGACGGATCCGTATTTTGGGTCTGCTGCCTAAGAGCCTGCTTCAAGGAGTCGAGTGTCGCCATTTCGTGTTATAAGAGGTTGACGAATTTTTGGTAGCACGTTTTAAGCGGCAATTATGGCTGATATACCTCTTGCGTATGTCGTTTGCTGGACATTAAAGGTGTTGAACTATTTCAGGAAGCAAGCTAAAAGATGGACTGAGCAAACGGAGATATGAATTGCCTGCAAGACATGGGTACACACATATTGTGTAACTCTGGCAGTATACTGCAAACAACTTGACCGCTCAGTATGCACCCGACCCAAACGAGAAGAAATGAAAAGAAGACAACTGGATTTAGCGATTATGTGCTTTTTCGGTCTCAGCTTTTAGCAGGCGAATTCGCATGTCCTGGAAAATCTTGGTGCAGATTGGCAACAACTGGTTTGATACTTTTTAAGAAAAGGCTGTAGCTCTACGTCGTAAACGATGACGGTACGCCTGGATTATCACAGCTCTATCTGCATTATTACAGCTGTGTTGTATTCACAGGCCTCTGCGTTCGAGGTATCTATGGTTCCCGAGGAAGGTTGAAATCGATATTATGGTCAATTTTGCGTAGCTTGGATGATGCGAATTATGGTGCTGTTTCAAATACTCGAATTGAGGTTCATTGACGAATTTGATTGAATTGCATTCTCGATATTCGACAGGTCAGGCCAGATTCAAAGTACTACGCCCTAAGGTGGGGAAAGAGAATCTCTGACAGCCTTAGAGGACTCCATTTATTTGCTATGCCACATGCACATTCCGTTGTGGAGTTTGAAAACAATATCCGACAACCGCACACTTCTCCCAAAAATCTAACAATATATCATGACGTTTGATGCTCGGAAACTGCAACTCAATCACCAATGAACACCTCAGAAATGCCAACACTCTTCTGTACCCCATAGTTGAGGAGAAATTATTAAGTTTCCACTTGACTAGAAAGCGTCTCCGCTACAATTTGCTGTATCGAAAATGCCAGATTAGCGTCTAGAGACTCTGTAGCGCCTACAGTCTTCGCAAGCTAACATGTGGCAACGTTTACAAGGTAAGATGTACTTGCGATGTCTTGTACCGCATATCTCGCAGACACGACCACGACGTGAACCTTCAATCCTGGTAAACTTGCCGCTGTGATTGCATTCATGGTTCTCTCGCAATTCCTGTGCCATATCGACAACGCGCCGTTGACGAGCTGCAGGCTCTAAATTTGCTGGCGCCTCTCTGTCAACAACCTGTTGAGCTCTTTGGTCCAATAGGCCCTCTTCCCAGTCTCCGCATTTGCATTCTTTCCACTTTACACCACATGGGTAACAGAACTCGGCTTTGCATCTACAGCTGTGCAGTAAGTTAGTCTTGAGATAATGGCGAGAAACGGAAGGTTCACTCACGTCATATGATTGCAGCCCTCATATCGAAATACCATCTCACCACATCCAAAACAGCGTCTCCAGCCTTGCTCTTCCGCAAATGCAATGAGACTTTGTCTTGCTTCATCTACTGGACAGTCTCCATTATGTGCTAAGGATTTGCAGTGGATGCATGTTCTAGCGTTACAGACCACACAGGTAGCAACATCCCGAGTTCGCTGCGACGGAGGAATGAACTTCGCGCATTCCGGATCGGCGCAATAGAAACGATCGGCGCTGTTGAACTCAATCTCGGCTTCTCTATAGGAGGCCAGCTCTTCGACTGAGAATTCTGTCAGGATAGCTGAAATGTCAATTGGTCGACCATGACATTTTGGCGGAAACAACGTTTCATCCTTTGCAACACGAAGAAAAAAGGACTTGAGGCACGGTCTGCAATAAACATCACCACAATCCAAACGCAGAGTAGTGTGAGGATGATTGGGCTCGCCACAAACGCTGCAGTCGATTTTCAGTTGTTGCAGTCGATCTAGGATAGCTCCCTGGCGGTAAACGTGTGGAGTCGAAGGGCCAGCGACAGTGCTAGCACAGTCCATGTCGGATTTCGAAGACTCAATATCCCGCAGTACATGGTCCCATTGTCCCGATTCCGCTGCGAAACCACCCATTTCAAGCAATTCGTTGGAATCCTGGTGCGGAAGAGCTTCGCCTTCGTTCAAGCTTAAAGCAACTTGTCGGTCTTCGATAGACTGCTTTTCTTGAGCTCTCAATTCCTCGATAGCTGTAGCATCGGTTTCCATTGCATAGGTAATGCTGTGAGCAAGCTTCATATCCTCAACTCGCGTTGCCAGTGTCTTCAACTCAGCCTCGTAGTTATCGAATGCCAGTGCATGATCAGGAGGATTTCCTTCAGCCCATTTCCCAGTTTGACGCTCGCGTTGAGCTTCGACCTCTTCGATTTGTAGCTTTAGAGCGAGGCTCTCGTCGTCGAGCTGAAGCATGGGATCTGCTGATGCTATGGTTGTTGCTGGTTTGCCTTTCTCGTCTGAGGTCTCGTTCGCCATACTGTGCATCTGAAAAGGAGAAATTCTGAGGTTTTTAAGTTGCATGGAAGTGTTTGCTCTCAACCCCTGCCGCAGACCCTGGAAGGAGGTCCCAAAGAAAGCCAAGCAAGTACTTATGCATATAACCGTGACTTTCAAGACGGTATCGACCCCTTTGAGTCATGCTGGTTGCTGTTTGGATGCCTCCGCGCTCTTTTATCTCTTAGTGCTGCAAATACAACTTTCTTTCATATCCTTTTTTATAACGTAATCGGCCATATGTATGTATATGTCGTTGCCAACTAATCTGGGGCTACTCTCCGCTTCGTAGAACCAAGAACACCTTGCTTCTTTTTTATGCGTAAGCATATCCAATCCCGCAATCTGATACAATGAATTTCTGGGCTCATTCAGTTTGGATTTGGAAGCATTGTTGTCATGTCGCTCTAGGATTCAGGTCACGACAGTCGTGCTTCCTTGTCCGATACTTCTCTTCGCTTCCACCAGGAAAGAATGATGAAGTGAGTCGTTGGACCGAACGTTTGAGTTCCGTTATATCAAGATAGCTCCAAGAATTACTCATCGGTAATCATAGGAGGAAGGGGATGAATTGTCCACAAAGACTCAAGAATCTTCAAACAAAAAAAAGGAAAACATTGCAATAATTTGCAAAGGTTCGTTGCTTAGAAGCTTGGCGTAAATCACACTTCGTCGAGCTAACTTGGTCATCAGGACATGTAAGAAAGAAAGAAGACACCGGCTGAGTGGAGCGTCGTGACATTCATTCTTCGTCGTTCAGCAAGCCTAGTTTATTAGGCAGTCTGGTTCAAGTGCGGCCAGAATCGAGACCTTGTTGAGCAGTCTGGTGCAGGTGCAGCCATAATCGAGATCCTCGCTTATCATTCCACAGTCTATGAAGGACTCTGAGGCTGACAACTAGTGGACGAAAAGTAAAATTCAGACAAACTGAACGCGAGAAGATCTTGAAGCTATCTCTGTACTGGGCCTTACAGGCTCAAGAATATAAGGTTACTGCCCGAATCGAAATATGAGACCTTCTAGTCGTGGAGTGATGTGCTCCCAAAAACTAAATCGCACACGTACGCAGAGTACACAGATGCAAGTGAGTGCTCAATGCTGGGTACCTTCTGTAAATATGACGTTAAACGTAGCAAGTAATAAATTTGTAGGCGATGCATCAGATGTGGAAGTGCTAGAGGTGATGTATATTATCCAATTGTGCCCCGCATGCACCAGAAGCAATTATTAATGCCACATATTGCCAAATGGGAGTTAAAGACCAGATAAGGTGAAGTGAGTGTGCTTTCAGACGGCACATCTTTTGTGATACGAGAGATGCTCTTTTACTGATTGGCAACGAATCATACTCCCTGCCTTGCATTTCATTTGTTCACGACTGGATATGCGGCGTCATGACAGAGGCCTGTCGTTTTACCGATCTCAACAGGTCATTGGATGCAGAAACCAACTCTTCCTGCAGCATAACGTGCAGTGGCTAGGGGGTTGGCTCAACTGGAACCCTGGCAATCTTTTCTCCAGCTTTAACCTTAGCATATCCGTCAGTTCAGTCGCGTTTAAATCCGAGATCCTCTTCATTAAACTTCACAGCTCCATTCCAAAAGTCTTGAGATTGCATATAATGTAGAAGCCCGCAGACTTTATATCCGAACACCAACTTTGATACGGTACAAATCGACCCGCAGACCAGAGTTTTACTCACTCAAGCAATAAATAACGATTTCTATATCAACCACTATGTCGGCTGAACTTGCGATTACGATCACGATCGGGATTCTCCAAGTAGTAATTGGAATTCTGGCTATTTTTCAGAGAGGAGGGATCATGTTAAATGCTCGTCGTGTTGTCCTGGAAGGTATATCATTGTTCGTTCTCTTTCATGGCTCTTCTCAAGTCATTATCACCTCTTTTCTTGTCAAGTTGTCGCATTTTAATTCTGTCAATACGAAGTAGCAAGAACCATCTCTAATTGATCCAACTATTGTAGTACAATTGGACCGAGCGAACCACCGATAAATGACACAATGACACTTGGAATACATTTTCGATTTAGGAAAGGAGTTTAGGAAATTGGGTATCTGTGATGGTGTTTGACATGGGGTTGAATTGAGGAAATCATTAAAATATTGAAGAATCATGGACCCTTTATTTTTGGGTAAGGAGGCGAACAATCATGACTGGTTTGGAAACATGACAGACTTATGCAAAAGAGCTTTTGCTGTTATTTCTTCTTCGGAATCATTTATGTAACTCGATCTATTGGCCGTTAGTAGCTGTTAGTTCTCAGTTCTGGACCCAGATCTCGCTTGTAATCAGTGGAGCTCTTCAAGTAAACACTTGGTTTTAATTAACCAATGCACAACACAGCAAGAAAGTTGAATGTTCCTTAAACTGTATTCGTATCAAAATTTCTAAATAGATATTTCGCCGAAAAAAGCCGAAACTTCTCTTTGCGACGTAGCTAAGGATATCCAAGTACCGCAACTTTCGGTTTCAGGGGAACAGATGAGGAGTGAGAGTACCCAGATCCTAACTGTACAACATGGCAGGCATGCCCTAAAAGAATACAATAGCTGGTGCTGAGAGAGCCTGAGTCGGCCGAGAGGCAATTTTTATTGGACGAGCTGCATGCACTATACGACGCGTGGGATGTTGAATCGAGATATGCAGGCAGGGGTGCACTAAGCCAATTGATTGAATGCAGTCATAAGTGCCCCTTCAGCCCCTTCCTTATAAGTCGGGCGTTGCTTTCCTGTGACTTACTGGCGATGTGGCTCAACAAACTCCGTCTCACACCGGAGATCCGCATGAGCGAATCTAGAGGGTTACCAGTTATCAGACATGATACATGATTGTGACCATTCTGGAACAGACCCGACGAAGCTGGAGGAACGGCTACACTCAGAATGCATTCCCTTCAACTGCCATCCCAGAGGGCAATATCTAGTACGAAGGTACCATTTTTGCGTACTTATTACTGGGATTCAACCGGTTGGTGGCCACAAGAATCATGTCACCACATACGGCTAAGAGAACGGAAATCCATTTCTGACACTGCTTTGTGTGATTGTGACTCGCTTCACAGGGCGAAGAAAACTGCTGGTGCCTCAAATGTGTGGCATACGCGGAATTTTGATTGTAAGAATCAATGTCTAGGATCTTAATTGAACCGGAAAATTAGTAACGGAAACCGCTGAATCTAATCTGATTTTGTCTTTGCTTTGAAGACGTCTGCGACTGATCGGCAAAGTAACAAGAGGTTCGGTTACTGACTCTATCTTCATTGGAAGCCTTCTATTAGGATAAATGACGTCGTTAAAACAACACAGCAAGAGAGATTTTATACATCCGTTGCCTAAAGACTTTCTATTTAAGCCGTATCACAACGATTAAACCCGAAGTGTTCATCACTAAGAACACACCTCATTTCAAGTTGACGTTTAATGCTCAAGGGAAGACATTTGATCCATAAAGATAACTTTCAACCCTCATATGTTATTGGAAGAAGCTCGGCAATTAAAATGCTAATCCAAACGTATGGTATTTCCCTACCTGTCAAGTCACTTTCTCGTTTCTAACTTCATGTTTTTTTTGTAACTTTTGCACTAAACTGTTCTTATTCTTCAAGCAAGATAAACCCATTCCACTTACTCATCAAAGTATCAGTAATGGCCCTCAAAACTCAAAAGCCAGGCGAGAATAACACAGAATGCATGGTTAAGCAGCGTTGGACATGTAGAAAAGAAATACTGGCAAAGGAGTGAGTGGAGGTCAGCAAACAAATTCTGGAATCTGGAAGGATGAATGAATCTAAAAGAACGCAGAACCCGCCTTCCTCACCTGCCCCCCAAAAGAGGTGTCGTCTCATCATCAGCTTCAACACTCGCCTCTCCAGCTTCAAGACCAGCACCAGAATTCTTCTTACCTTTTCTCATCCCGCAAAATTTCGCAAACCACGCCATAAATCCAAACGAGCCCCCATCTCCCTCACCACTCGCCTTCACAGGCAAAACAACCGGTCCCTTCCTTCCACCACAATACTTCCCAAACCCACCCCTCGACGCAAACGCACAAGTTTTCTTGTAGCAGTAACATGGATTACCACAGAATAAGTTTGGGAGGGTTCCTTGGGCTGCTGTGGGATCTAGATGAGGCTGTATAGGCAAATCAAGGACGGGGAAGATGAGGTCGGGGAGCATGGTGATGGTGTTTAGATGGGAGGGGGGCCAGTTGATGAGGTAGTCTGTGGGGGAGAAATCGGGGAGGAGGGGCATGAGGGCGTACGTAGCTGGCAGAGGTGGTGGAAGGGGAGGGTGGTAATATCCTCTGAGTCCGGAATTGTTCGTCATGTTCTTTGTTACGGAGTTTATAATCGCATTGTTAAAGTCAAAGATCTGACTTTGATGAAAAGAATGTAGTCAAAGAACTTTCTTTGAGACATGATCGGTCGGGGATTTACTCGCTAATGACAACATTGACGATTTGAGAAGGAGGATCTGACAATTCTTTGTGACTACTTTGGAGGGTAAAAATAGACAGAAAAAGGTCAGGTAACTATTTTGAATGATGTTAGTAGTAACGTATACACCCGGTTACGAGACAGATATTTAGCGCAAAGTATCTCTTAGCTGTATGTGATTACACTATGAACTATACGTCTAGACACCATGATTATAAGTCTTAGCAAGAAGAAAACTGTTCTTGTCAGCCGTGGAGGCTCGTTTCAGAATGGTGCTCTCAAATATGAAATTTGCGCCTGGATTCAGTAAGATGTAGCATGCTGTATGATCGGGCAATTGCTACAGCCGTTTTTGACGTTTCCAACAGGACGATGGACAGTATAACCAGAATGTAGAATTTTCAACCCGCAAGTCGAGATGGCGCTCAAAAATCGAGATGGATGGCGCTCGAAAAGCGAGATGGATGGCGCTCAAAAAGCGAGATGGTTGGCGCTCGAAAAGCGAGACGAGATGGCGGTGAAATGGCAGTCCCTATTCACGTAATCCGTAAAACAACCCCACGTTTCTCTGGGCTTACATCCTGCATGACGCTAAGTTGACCCGATCTCATCCCTGAAGCAATTCTGCATGAGTATGAGTATAAAATTTTTTTCTGACATAATATTAGGAGCTAATTCACAAATAACACAATAATTGCCCTGATTCAGTTCCCTATCCTATCAGTAATGTCCCTAAATGAGTGTAGCCTTAATCTCTTAAGCAGACTTCGCTAACTGGTTCAAGGCTATATTATCCTTAAGGTTATGTAATGATATCGAATATGGACTAGAAGGGGGGCTGGTATATATTCTCGTAATCTTTGCTATTTTAATTGTACTTATGCTCATAATCCTGTCCGACGTTTTCGCTCTCGTGCGATCAGACAACCAAACCGCGGTCTTACTTTAAGTACTGGGATGTTTTCCAATGGGTGAATTTGTTCACGCTTTTTATCTGGATTTACAGCCACTGGCAAGATCCTATGTGTGGGTTGCGAAAGAGGAGTAGTTGGGGTTTGCTAAGCTGCTCATTCTTTCCTAGCTTAGCTGCTGGAGCGTTTTTCATGCTTTTGAAACGTACCTGAAGAGATGTAGTTAAAAAACAATAACCTATTCATTGAAATTCGTTGACCACCTAGGTTTTGGAAGGTTCCACTTTACACCCATTTCTTCAGCGAGTTGTAAAAACCACCCTTCACTGTAGCATTTGATGTAATTAGACGTAAGAAACAGATCTCGGAACAGTTCATCCGATGGTTTGTCATAGTCGATATCAATTTGAACATTTCCATCGCACAATCCCAGCAAGCCGTATACCTTGTCGCGTGGATTTTCGCATTCCATCGCCGAGAAATCACGCAATAAATTAGGCAATGAGAACTTAACACCGGCCTTCCTTCCACGTCTCGCTTCAAAAAGACTATACACTGAACTTGGGAAAGTTATAATGCTGTGCCCTGAAAACCACGATGGCAATCCAGAAACCCAAATAAAGGTAGTGAGGGAAGTCAACATAAGGGCGTGAGAGCCACAAACAAGCAACAGATCTTGGGCTAGCACAAACTCTTGGACGATCCAGAGACGACTCCAATATGGTCGGTGTAGGAAGTTTTCAAGACTCTGGCGATCAGCGAGGAGCCTTGGGAGGTCGTCTTTATACTTGTTGAAAGAAGCCGCCAAAAAAGTAAGGTAATTAGGGAAATCTTCTCTGTGAATTCGTCCTTGTATGAGACTAATATCCGCTATCAGTCGCATTGCTGTATCACTATCCTGGTCATCGCAACCTAGCCACACAATCACACGCTGGGCCTGCTTATAAATTTCGCCCATACGCTCAACCTGATGTGATTTCTCTCCATTCGAGGATTGATCGATACAAATCTGATCAACCCATAGATATGTTGGACGCAGTAGCATACCGTCACCGTCGAGGATCGTGATGCCAGTTCGTGTAACGCAGTCAAGGAAGTCCCCCAGATTTTCTCGGACCTCATGAGGCCTTTCATTCAAGGATATAATTTTAGTTGGGAGTGCGGGTCCCCATGTATAAGACAGAGCCTCGTATGGAGGGCATTCATCGAGTTTGAAGGTTTTGAGAGTGTAGCTAAGCTGACCGCCGGGATCGTCCGAGAAGCAGAGCAGGCGTATTTGGTTACCGTTAGGCTGAAGCGGCTCGTATTGAAAGGGATCCATAGTATAGTTTTGTTGCGCGTAGGGTTTGCCTCCGCGCAGGGCTAGACATTGTTGGTTGTTGAAGCTTGTACCCGATTTAGATGATGATTGTACTGGGAGGGGATGGTTGTGAGGGAGGAGGGACATTAACGATCGCTGAAAGACATATAGGCAGATACTACTGCGCACAGACCAATGTCCCTTTTCACAACTTACCGAAATTACTATAACCACACCGTTGCTGACCGGATCTCTGTGCGCTTAATTAGAGGTGAGGTATTGGTCTTTATTCGATCGCAGAGACTATACCGCGCTGTGGCCGCTCTAATTTCAAAAAATGGAGTTTTGGCATTATAATAAAGCCTAGGTATCTAGCTGTGTCAGAAAGGACGAGGAAGCGCATTCAGGGTACTCGCTATAGAGCTAAGGGATACCCTTGTACGCCAGCCTTTAGTGTACTTTAACCCCTACTAGGCTTACGCTAGAACTTCACAATTCGACAACAATTGTCGCTTTTTTAGGTGAGTAAACACGGCCTTAACCTAATACACACCCCTCTTGAGCCTAGAGAAAACGGAGTAATATACAGGTATATTACTTTATAATTATCCTGCATGCTCACTCACGCCCTTGCAATAATTACACGGTTTGGAGCTGAAAAGAAAATGGCCAAGACTGCTGTAGTTATATCACAATTATACAATTCCATGATCCCATCCATCCATCCATCCCATCACGCGCTTCCCAAACCATCTAGCAATTCAGTCCATTTGTCTATCCCATCACGCAAAATATGATTTCCACAAGACACCTTCTAGATCCTCCAATTGCTCCGTAGTGAAATACTAGATAAAATGTTAGCTGTGTAAAAGCACAAGGAATAGGACAGACTAACCCTTTGATCAGTGACCCAAGTGTCCTGTCTCGTCTTCTTAAAATCCGCAAGGATAGTCTTGACAGTCTTTCCAATTGCACCAGCGTCATTGGCTGCCTTGCTAGCAAGCATAGCGAGAATCTCAGGCATCCACTCAGGAGGTGGTGTTGCATATGGAAACGCATTTACCAAAGCCCCTAAACCGAGTACAGCAGCATGACGGCGAATAACTTGTTGATTGGTATTGACCGGTGTACTAGTACCGGGAGTTTTCTTGGGCATAGGGTTTTTGCGCAAGGCTGTGGTAAATTTTGTTTTCAGGGTCGGAAGGATGTTATTGCGGAGAGCGACAGGGGAACAGCGGATCATACCCGCAAGGGTAGTGGAAGCGCCCATTCGGACTTCATGCTGGGAGTCTTCGAGCATATCGGCTACGGCGGCGAAGAGAGCTTCTTGTTGTTCAGTACGGATGAGGAAGATGCGACGGAAATAGAGGATTTGCATGTTGATCAGGGTACGTAGGCGTTGATGCCATGATGTGGAGGTTTTGCCGATGCGAACGAGAGCGTTGACGAAGTTCCCATCCTCTCCAGCTGGGAAAGGAATGTTTGGTAGATGACGGAAGACCTGATAAGCAAGGCGCTGCAGTTCAATATCTTCCTTGACATCCATCATATGCAGAACTTGTTCCATGAAGACATCAGGGATATAATCCAGAAGCTGCGTACACTCGTGGGATTGGAAGGTAGTATCTAGCCATAACAAGACCGTCTTGCTACCAGAAGTGTATGATGATGGCGCCTGGTCACCAGGAGTTCTCTCCTTACGCCAGACTTCCAGTCGCTCGAACACGTCTTTGACAGTTGAGCCAAAATGTTCGCTTGGCGTGTACGGTTTGATACCAATTGATGATGCAGCTTTATTAGCGGCAAGCAAAGTGGGAACATCTTTGAATGCTTCATAGTAACGCGTACGATAGATGGCCGCAATAGTACGTCCAATGGCCTCTCTTACGGATTTGTATGGATGGTCGATATGTGCGAGAAAATCTTCCAAAATAGGCATCTCGAAGCGGAAATGCCATCCAGCATCTTGAATTGCAAACTCTAGTAGTTGAATCTTGGAGCTCTCCTTGAAAGCAGCGTTGGAAGACATGTCTAACCGGAAGGATATAAGCTGTTCGTAGATCTCTCGAGCTTGCCTTGGATCCTTTCCTCCAATAATCATATGCAGGCAAGTCATCCAGTAAGTGATATTCTCAGGCGTCAGCCCGTCATCGAAAATTTTCATCAAAAACGGGACTCCGTAACTCCAAACCTTGTCACGAACTTCCACTGGTGACTCCATCACGCATATTAGGAGCGCGGCCATAATTTCCGCAGTGGCCCGGTGTTGATGTTTATCGGTCCCATCCTCAAAAACCGCCGCAATCAATTCTTTAATGTCCTCAAAAGTGGCAGCAGTGACACCCCTAAGGGTAAGATCAAACGTTTGGATTAGCAGAGCAGCATTCTGAACGCGGAATCGATCGGCAGTGGCGTCTCTCGGTTCCTGCTTCATGTATCCAAAGTACTTTGAATACCAGTCCCGTGTCAAAAGTCCACCGATTTGCGAACGGACATTGTTCTCTAAGTCGTCGTAATCTTCGAATTCGACCGGCCGGCCCTTTACGGCCCTGAAGCTCTTGCCCCAGACCAGCCAACCCGGAAAGTCGCGATCAACAAAGTAATCAGGTAATCCAGGCTTTGCAAATGCGGCAAGATACTCCTCTGTCCAAGTCGAGTCGCCGTTTTTCACCTCCACTTCTAATCTATTTTCTTGGGTCTCCTCTTCGCGGATATGCTTCTCTGCACTGTGGCCATAGACCGCTCGCGTCTCGATGAAGAGGAAAATTCGGATGAATGCTTCACCATAGCTAGACCTAAGCCCTGGATGATCATCAATGGAACCTTTGACAGCAAGGTCAATCAAAGCTGGCGATGCAAGTGTCTGGATTCGAAGACCACTGTTCAAGATGAATATTGCACATCGCGCAGCTATCCTCCAATGTGAGTTCTTGCAGATATCGATAAGTCTCAGCGATAGTGCCGCCTTTTTCGCCTCGACCTTACTTCTTCTTTCTTTGATGAAGCTGTTTCGAGAAGTAATCTTTTGACTACAATCCTCGGGTGGCGCAATAGTCTCGACGAGGTCTTGATCAATCACCATATAATGCTCTAAAGATTTACCGAATTCTGCCAAGCCACCATAGAGAGACTGACCACTGATCTTTGCTATCGAGGGTTTATCAACCGAAGCTGATTTAATGTAGAGCTCGATCAACTCGGGAGCATATCGCCAATCCCTCGAAATCGTCTTAGTAAGACTACCGAAGAACAAAGTGTATAATGACCCCTTGATACGATCGAAATCATCAGTCTCGAGCGCTTGCCGAAAGGTACTCAACAGTGGCGCGACTACGAGTGTACGTCCTGCTAAAAGACTTTTCAGCGCCGCCTCCAAAGCTGATTGTGCATTGACTCGGACTTCAGCATAGGAAGAAACAGCTGACGCGGCTAGCTCCAACAGCAACGTTTTGTCAAGTTCTGATTTGTGTCTTGCAGAAGAATTGTGCTTGACTCGATGGAAATGATAGATTCCAGCTCGTCTTACAAGAAGTGGCCGAGGATATACTTTTCGCAGGCCACTAATCTTGAAGGCTCGAATGTCGCTCGCGTATAGTCTCGTGACACGCTCAAGCATATGGGCGGAGCGCTCATTACCCACATCGATTATCCAGGTGCGGTAAGCGGAGTAGAGTGCTGTAAAGCAGGCAACGTCATCTTCCTGCTGCTCAACCAAGAAGTTATGTATTTTGGAGAGTAAATGGCCCACGTCTTCGCGTAAAGAGTGGATGTGATTGTACAAAGCACTATCTTTCTCAAGCAGATAACCCGCACGGTAATGGAACTGAGGTCGTGTCTCGGCGTCTTCAGCGGCTTCAGCGAGTGGGTTTTCGTCCTCTAATTCTGGTTCGACAATATCCATGTTACTATCGCCATTTTGATCTGTACCAGCTGATGCTCTCTTAGGATCAAACAGAGTGGCGACACCAGAGATGATGAGCCGTATCTGGGCAAGATTCCGCGACACCTCGTCGGACCATTCCTTATTCTTGCCCTTTCTACTTATTTTTGGACTGTCGCTAATGAGGTTTGTTAACCGCGATACAGCTGTGTCAACTTGTGACTCGAACAGCTTAACGGCGAATTCGAGTTCTTCCTTACTTGGCAAATGCCACTTAATGGTTAGGTCCCGTGGATCCAGGGGTCTGCCCCAATCGTTGACATCAAGTCCCTTCTCAAAGACTTCGGGTTCGTATAATGCTCCGTCAACCGGGTAGATGAGGGTAAGGTTGAGAAGAAAGTGGTGAATGTAATTGGAGATGTGAATCGTCGGAATTCCTTTGCATTTCTCTTGCATGTAAAGAGCGATGTCGTATAACTCGGTCTTGTAAGGCATGAGCGTATCACCGACATGAACGATAATCATGCTGAGCATACTAATATGCCATACCAATGCTCGATCTCGAGGGAGTACATCAGTACCGCTACTGCGGTCGGATGCAGCATCATTAGTATCGATTTCATTGCGAATGCCAACAACTAGCATGGGAACAAATCTCTTCAATGTTTTCTCGGGGTTGGCTTTGCAGAGAGCATTACAAATGAATGCCATAGCGTCCCGGGCTTGATGGACAACATGGTTCTGAACAAAAGAAGCCACCTTGTCTAGAGCTTTATCAAAGTTCTCAGGTGAGAGCGCCGCAAATAAGGGAGTCAACGCAGCAGGAAGTGTGTTGATGACCGCTTCCTCCGGAGATCCTGATCGAACGCGAGATGCTTCAGGAAGATTTTCTAGAAGAGTGAAGACCTTTCCGAGTAAAGCCATAACAAATTCGCCAAATCCAGCCGTAGAAGATCGCAGGATATTTTCCTCATCTTCATCGCTCAGCTCAGTTGTATAATCAATCTGAACATTAGGACCCTCCCGTTCCATACGTTCCATCTCACCCTGCACCCATTGAATTGCTAGCGTAGTATCATGGATTTCATCCGATGAATTTGTAAGGTCGGCAAATGGTATACTGTATGCGACAGACTGAATAAAATTGAGCGTATGCTGAGTTTTCGACAAATCGTTGGCATCAATACCTGGTAACGCTAAGGCTAATAAGGCAGTGACATGGCAACGTAGTCCCTTGTGCTTGGACATAACATTTGCTGTCATCTGCAGTCCACAAAGAGATGATTGCGTTCGATGGACCTCTACTAATCCCTGTAGTGAGGGGTAAAACCGCTGAAGAGCTCCTGGAAGAATCAAGTGAGGCTCCAGGTAAGCTAGTCCTTGAATAGCTCCAAAGAAGTAATTCAATGGCTTGGACTTCTTAGAAAAAAGGCCCATAAACATGACTTCCTTCAAACTAAGCACAAAACGTCTTTTGAGCTCAGCGTTTATACGACGTTCTGGAGGAGTCGCCATCTCACCACTCTGTTCTTTGTTCCACCGCATAACGAAAAAGTCCACCAAATGGAAGACGATTTGTGCTAACATATCTGTCCAGTTTCCTTGATTGGAGGGGTGGAAGAAAGTATCAATCGATTCCATCATGCCTTCTAAATTGGAAAGTATTGAACCTGGTTTGTCAATGCAAGAAGGCGATAATGACATTACTACCCATCTCGCAATAGCATAACCTATGGGATTCTTCTTTTTGTCTTTTTCAAGATATAAACCAAGACCAGCGCCAAGGTCTACCATTTGGCAGTATGGAGAGGTTGCTTGACCGACAGGAATTTCTGTCAGCCGTAATAATGCTGTAAAAATTAAATCTGACTGGTCCTTAGTAAAAATGCCATACTCAGAGAACTCGATGTGTTCGCATTCCAACGAATCTCGGGCTAGGCGGGAGAATATATCAAAGAAGATCACATCGAAGGCTTTCGATCGGTTTACCAATGACCATAAATGAAAGAATGTCGGGAGGTAATCTTGGGGCTGTAACTGGCCGGGTTCATTTGGTGCAGGATGAGTCGGCATCAACATATTCAATGCTCCCATCACAATGAAGGCACCCGTAATTTCAGAAGTGCTGAAGAAAGGCAAAATCTCATCCAGCATAGCTTGTCTTTCGGATGCATCAAAGTACTGGTACGCATATGTACACATGCTGGCGATATTTTTGTGACTGCGTTTCCGTGCCGATTGGTGTGTTGCAACCTCATACGGCAGCACGATATCTTTAATTTGTTTCCACAATGGTCGCCAATCCAGCACTAGATCCTCACCGGGCTTAAGATAATGCTTTCTCCTTGGAATAGTTAGTCAATGGGGCAGGGTAGGAACGGACCGGGCCGGGGCTTACTTGGTAAGTGTACGAAACATGCTCTCGAATCGCTCCGCGGCGGCATAGTCCAACCCAGGAGCTAGTGCAAGCATATAGTAAAGCTTGACGAGCTTCACGCGCAAAGTTCTCGTAATCTCAAATTTGAGGTTGAGCCATCCTCGGAGCTCTCTCGTCCAATGAACAGCGCCTGGTGATATGTCCTCTGCTTTGATCGCAGTGTACAGTTGCTTTAGAATCTCCTCGAGAGCTGCATCTCTCTCAGCTTCTTCCTCCGCTTTATATGGCAGGTGCTGGAAGTATGGATATGTCCGCGTTCGGTAGCGTTTCTGTTTGTCATTTCCATTGACTCCATGACCTGGGGATGTGGCTCGCGATATGGTGTCGTTCGCACCTCCATTCTGCAACATATTCTGAAGCAGTTGGGCATGGCTGCGACCATTTGCATAGCTTTCGTCCTCCATTATGGGTCGTGCTGCTCCTGGAGACAGTCTCGAGTCGATTGATCGCTTCAGCCTCTTTCGAGGTGGCCCTACACAATCCATGATGTTAGCAAATCAGCTAATAATACACCACACCATTGGAGGTTGAAGGAAGGTATTGGAAAAGAAGAACCCACGGCAGCAGCAATGGACAAGTTTGGACTACAGTAGAGCTTAGCTTCAAAGAAGGAAATGATACCTACGTAGTCTCGACCGATCAAACGGAAAGTTCGTGCAACCAGATCGGTTCTTCACATTAGCGTCAAGTGTCGAAGATGAAAAAGTGTGGATGATTTGTGGCCAATGTAGCACGAGAGTTGAAGATTGGTAGCCTCGTCGCGGTTGCAGATGGTGAGGTGATTGACGGTTGCATGGACACCAACACCCGGTACAAAGTGAATATGGTGAATGCACAGAAGTTGCTTACAAAGGCACTTTTCAAGAATGAATTATTCGATGAATGTAATTTTATAGACGAGGAGGACACTCTTCTTGATATATGACTATTTCTTTATTTCAGTAGCTTCATATTTGCCATTATTTAGAGCAGGTCGCAGCGCTGATGCGTACAGTCTGGCTAGGCACGGGCCACTACGTATCTAATCCCCGCTCAAGCTCCCGAGTCCCGCCTCACTGTCAGACAAAGATCACATTGCGATTTGCGAAACAATTAAGTTGTGTGAGACAAGGTTGTATTCATTCACCTTACGTCCAGTCACCAGTTGGGCCGGCACCAAAAAAGTTATATACAATTCCCAAATCAATCAACTCCAACAGGATATCCTATCCGGTAATATGCAATCCGAACACCACCGCTATCCTAATGCTGAGGTTGATTTCGATAACAAAGGAAACAAAATTCTGGAGTGGTAATAAGCTATTCGAGCTATAAATAATTGTACTAAGAAGCGCAAGATTGATTTTGAGGGTGCTCAAACAGCGTGTCGACGGGAGCGTTTGAAAAGATTCGTAAATGATTTCCATTTACCAGGTTTCGTTTTCTGCGGAGCTGCAGCTGCAACGACCGTGTTATCAGCGGCATCCATGCTGTGTCTCTCAAATTGCCCATTGGTGTAACTGTGCTGAAGAGCGCTCGTAGGTATATAAGCAGACTGAACCTGACGTCTTGGCTTGGTCGGGGTGTCTGGTGGAGTGGCGGAACTCGAGCCAGGTAAATGCAGCTGGCCATTGTGGTTTGAGAATGACGACTTTGATGATATATAGCCGTCCGTCATAGCTCGCTTTGGTGGCCCAAATGAGTTTTCGCCCTCACTGTCGCTGACCACGGTGCTGTGGGTGTTACCATTGACCTTTCTTGCTGCTGCACGTTGCATGAATGCACTGCCTGTAGATATCGATCTTTTTGGCATTGAATCTCTTTCGATCGGAGACGACGCACCGCTTGCCGGACTAGCTCTTACTGAACTTCGTCGAAGTTTACCACCAAGAGCCCCCAGGCTCGTCTTAGAGTCTAAAGTGCCTGCGAGACTCATTGCAGGACTCGTCTGGAATGTCTCGGGAGTCAAAGACATTGACCTGGCTCGGCCACAACCTCGTAAGCTAGTAGAAGACGGGCTGCATATAGATGCGAGTGGGTCGTTGTATTTGAAGTATGGCGATAATCCTCGACGAAGAGCAACCCATACCCCTGTTACTTGAATAAGATTTCGAAGATTTTCGTCAACCATACAAGTGACCCGATCCGTCGTAGTCTCTTCATCAGTCGTTGTTGAGACTTCGTCGGGGAAGTGTCTGCTCGATGATGTTGGAGGAGCATTGGCCGATGAAGACGATACTGACATATAAGTGTCGGGTATATCAAGCTTGCTCGGCGTTAGACTCGCCATGATCGGGTGCCGACGTGAAAGAGGATTTATGATGCTAAAGGTAAATCTAAAATCATCGCTGTTCGTACTGTTGATGGCTGCTTCGGTTAAATCTACACTCTTGCGAGCTCCATTTCTTTTCACCCAGCGAGCCGTCGTTCGGTTGCCGTTTGCATCGGTATGAACAAACTCATAGAGATTGTTGGTCATTGGTGTGGCTTCCCAGACCGATCCATCGTTTAACACTATCTCGGCTTTCCCAGAAGATCCACCATGACCTCTATCCAAGGCACAAATGACAGCTACCAGCTCTCGGTTCGCGAGTCCTTCATCATCCGATTCGACTTCATCCACACTGCGTGTATCCGGCGTACTATACTCTTCACTCCTCAACAACATAACGTCATTTGCGCCCAGCGTTCCCTTTCCTCTGAACATTCTCGGAAACTTCTTGATCAGTCGCGGGACGACTACAGTGGAAGGAACTACATCGATAGTGGGTATGGGCCTAGCATCTGCTGAAAGTCGCTGTATTTGGAATAGTAATTTTGGACGGATTTGCAGGAGCCGTTGCTTCTGCGTTAACGTAGGTGCTGGATGAGCCAACTGAAAGGCAGTGCTGGTTCGGATGGATCTTCTCCTTCTCTTTCTTCCATCGACGGTCGACGACACGGTGATTTCGGAATTGGCCACGGATCTGCCATCATCGCTCATTGCGTCCGACTCTGGTTCCTGAAAACGCACGACGGGTTCACTACTTCGATGTAACTGTTCTGACAAGGGTCGCCCAAGTCGGGGTTTTGACTTGAGTAATATAGATTCGGCGTAAGTCGTATTTCTTCGGGGTAATGGGCTTCTTCTTGGTATGTCATTACTTTCTTGAGGGGGACTAAACTCATGGCCATGCATCGAGGCCGCGGACGATAGTAGAAACATCTTGATTCAATTGGGAAAGGGCGCCCAACTGATGGGCGCCTTCCAAAACGACAGAAGTCGTCAGTCGATTTCGCGTTGTTGTTGTCCCGGGGGAGGTTGTCCGAGGGGAAGTTTTGGTCAAGAGCATTGGGGAGCGGCGGGGCTGTCAATGGCAATCTTAGAAGCTGTGTGGGTACGAATAAGGCTGACGTGGGACAGAGGCTTGAGCAACGTTGGGTTCCTTCTCAGTATATCTAGTATCTTGTATGTGATTTGAGCATCGAAAGATGCAAAGCAGACGACCGGATGCTCGCGGAAGAGAGGTGTCAGAAGGATTGGAGGCCGAAAGGAGGTGAGATGATATTCTCGTGGTGTGGACTGTGCAGTGAAATCAAAAGCAAGGCCCCCCTTGCGGAGCTATACGATTGGACCCTAGAGCTGTCAGCCAAAGTCCGACTTCTGGAAAATGTCTGGGCCGTACTTTTAGTACGACCAGCAGAAGACAAGACCGATCGCACAATTGTGCCACGTTCGACCATGCGAAGGGAAAGATGACGGCTGCTGTGGGATGGATTATGGCCAACCTGGAAGTAAGAGAGTCCAGGGTCGCGGACATTGTTTTCTGTCGGGAAACCGAGTCATCCAAAGGCTCGGAAACACCGGGCTAGACAATTCTATATCGACGTATGATCCCACAACTGTGTGCGCGATTTACGGAAAAGGCTCGTAGACGATAAATAACAGTCGGCAGAAGAGCGAGCAATAGATGCAGAAAATAAAATATGTTCAATATGGCGTCTCTACGAATAAGAAGCCAAGTATTATTTGGATGGTCAGATCAGGCATGCACACATCCCCGCACTCTTAGCTTGCGGCAACGCACCAGCAGCGTATCGGAAGCTCCAACTGCAGCCCTGAATTGTGAGGAGCTCGATTCCGTACTCGCGTATTCGCATAGCCCGAAACAGCAGCAATTATTAGTCCGTTCGATTGATGGTCGAAAATGAACTAGTATCAGGCCTTTAATCTGATGATTACCTATATTACTAGATATTGTCGGGGATAATCCATTTTTACAATTAAAGATTTCAATAGAAAATTCTCTCGCAGAGTTGTGGTTGCTTTACATAAACATGTGCGGATATTCGGGCTACGAAGAGTCCGTTATTCGTCCATTCACGGCACCGGCACTCGATTGTTTCCGCTGCGGGACTTGTCCAATCAAGCTTGTTTGGCACGTGTCGGTCTGCACTAGCTGGCTGAATCAGTAAACGCCGACGATTATACATCTATCTGCCTTAAGTATCGAACAAAGCGAGTACATTTGTAACCTCGGTAACTAAAAGTTGGTGGTAAAAGCTTATACACACGTCTAGTTTCTTGCCAAACATGATTTGCACCATCATTTACTGATCCTGTCATTGGTAGACTTTTATGACATGCCCAGGTGCTATCCATTCCGTGACAGGATCCATGCTGAGCCGCTGACGCGCCTAAATTGTCATTGAAACATTACTAGCATAATTCGATGAGACAACACTATGTGCAAATATTTCTCTACGACATTAGTGACTAATCATTTCAGAAAGCTTTTAGGCTTTGCTCAAATTTAATTTCAATATACCGTAAACTGCCAAAGCAGGATGCGCAAAATACCGAATTTATGAATGCGGCTCACGGTCTGACGGGATCGTGCTCCAAACTGTCAAGCGAGAATTCTGCTTCACCGCTGTTGTTCAAACATTCAAGCACATCTGCATCTTCAACCACTAGTCCTGCAGGAAAAAACTTCTGACCGCACCAAGATGGTACATTTTCTGCAGTCTTCCCGCCTGCTAGAAAATCCACTCCGGAGTCTGGTCGTTCTTTTTATCGTCTGGAAGACCCTGCTTATCCTCCTTGCCTGTTGCAGTCCAGGCCCTGGCTATGACACCTCGACACTTTTGCTTCCGCCGTGGAAGCCGTCGCACGGAAATCTAGAGCATCCGACAGGTCTTTCACAAGCAGTGTCTTATGTGAGCTCCAAGTTGACAAGATGGGACGCCATATATTTCGTACAGGCCTCCAAGCGCGGATACGTTTTTGAGCAAGAATGGGCATTTGGATGGGGCTTTACCAGACTGATCAAACTTATCGCGAATGGTAATTAGTATCTTAATCCCAAAAAGCAAAATTGTTGATAATTGATAGGTATTGTGCTCCTTGGAATCCCTCGCTATGATACCTTAGAAGTCGTCGTGGCTATTTTCATAGCACACTTGTCGCATCTGGTATCGACATTGCTACTCTTCAAGCTCACAATCGCCATCTTCCCAGCGCGCAATGTCCGGTTCGGTCTTGTTGCTGCTGTATTGCACATTTTGTCTCCGGCTGGTCTTTTCCTTTCCGCTCCTTATGCTGAGAGCTCCTGTGCCATGTTGAGTTTTGCAGGCAGCTTGCTCTTCGTGCAAAGTTCAACCGCCGGAAGGCCAGCCTCTGTAGGACATGATGCTCTGATTCTTCTTTCCGGGATTGCTTTTGGAATTGCCACTACGTTCAGAAGTAATGGAATACTGAACGGGCTGCTATTACTTGAGGAGGCAAGCAAAATCATATGGAATCTGCAGTATAGCTTTAACTTCGCTTCAATACGTCGACTAGTCTTTACAGGTATGGGCGGCTTGTTTGTGGCTAGTGGATTTATCCTCCCACAGTATATTGCCTACACTGAGTACTGCCTCGAATCAAACGTGTCCTCAACCAGACCCTGGTGTGGAAATGTACTACCAAGCATATACACCTTTGTGCAGGATTACTACTGGTGTGTATCTTATTCGATGTTTCCCTATATTCTCCCGGATCTAACGATGACAGGAACGTCGGTCCTTTTCGATACTGGACGACATCAAATATTCCATTATTCCTCATCGCAGCACCAATGTTTGCGTTTCTCGTCAAATCCAGTATATGGACCTTCACTTCCACGCAGTCGCTTGTATTCAAGGAAACCAACTCGAGCATGTCTCCAACTCTGCGCAATATGGCAATTTCTCAACTTTTGTTGGCTCTTTTAACACTAACTACTGCTCACGTGCAAATCATCTCCAGAATATCTTCGTCATTTCCGGTCTGGGTCTGGTACGGTGTCTCATTAGTGGAAAAGAAAGATGGAGGTTTAGGTTCAGTCGCTGTTCGATACATGGTCATGTATGCGATCATTCAAGGGGGCTTATTTGCGTCATTCCTTCCCCCAGCTTGAAATCAGGGGTATCCGGATTCGAAGAAATGTCCTAGTTCACCACAATAACAATAGAAAGAGCTCAAGAGCTCTGAGCATGTATTCTCGACTAACCTTCCTTTTGAAGCTGATTACATTCCCATGTCTTGGCACTTGTAAATGAGTTCACCCAATAGATGATCCTTGCCAAATACCAAGGACGCGCTAGTGGGACGTCCCCTTCCAACTCAGCGCAAACTCAACATTGGACAGTCTTTCTCATTCATCACCATCCCGAGGCAACTGTTCAAACGGACTCCTACTGACGGGCTATATGCAAACCGTTGTCTATACTCTTCACCCTAATTTTTGCCACGTTCGATCAATTCGCAACGCGAGTTCACGCACTCTCCTCCCAGCGTACGCGATCGATGTTCGCAAACCAAAACCAACATCCATAAATTAAGCAGATCGAATAGATAGCCGTTCGAGAGAGAGACACGTACAGATGTGGCCAAACTCCAATGCGTTTGGGGTCAATGGCCAGATTCCAATCGGCCTAAGCCCGGAAGACTTTAATAATTTTCAAAGCATGTCGCCGTTTGGAAATGCTCCCACGACGTCTCTATCTCAACCAGCTTTTCCTAGCATGCCACAGGCTATATTTCCCCCAAATAATCAAGCAAACTACGAGAACGGGAATGGTGAAGACTTGCAGACATCTCCTGGCCTGTTTTAAGCTTACTTGCCCGCGCAGCGTTTCTTCAAAATCAATTCATGAGCCCCGTCTCTCAAGTAAGTGTCGCACAACAAGAATTTTTACTCTCTTCCACTTCTGCGACATGACCCACCATCAAAACTATGTTGCTGACCAGTTCTTTACACAGTACTCCCTACCCCAATCCAATCCTCTACAAACTCCTACAAACGCCGAACATTCCCGACCTGCACAAATCAATGCAAGAGCTGCCGAGTTAAAGGCGAGACTTTTGAAGGGGAGGGAAGGACGCTCAGGTACCCCTCCAGTGCTGCCTGGAAAGAGTGCCAGCGCCAAAACGCCGATATCTGCAAATCCGGCAAGCTCGTTGCGCGGTTCTCCTAAAACCCCCTCAAACGTGACTGAAAACAATGAGCGAGCTCTCAATGCGCTCATCTCAGAATTTTCGGCCCCCCAACCAAACCCAGCATCATCCTTACCTGAAGCAAAGTCTACTGAAAACCCTGCGTCTAGTTCCAAACCAAAAATGCCATCCCGATCGTCGAGTTCTACCACTACGCGCGCACTTTCCCTAGGGAGTCCCAAGACAGTTTCCAAACCTGCTAGTAATAGCATCGTGGCTAAGAAAAACGGCGTTGATACTGCAGTGATTTCAAATGGTGATGGCCGTAATCTTCGTTCACGCTCCGTTTCAGAGATATCCGAGGGAGAGATAGTTGAAGACGCGCCGCCTGAAAAGCCGCCACCAAAAGATTCGAACAAATCTCTGTCTGCGCCCAATAACACCGATAGGCAGGCTATAAACGGCCAGGCGCAAAACGAGCAGATACCCAAACCGACTCCAGGCCGACCTTCTCACCGAGAGGCGACTTCAACACGGGTTGACTTACCGACCCAGCCAAGATCTCAACGTCTTAACGAGCATCGAGATGAGCCATCCCGACAGGAACGGATTCCCCAACAAAACCGGCAGCCGGAGCGGAAGGCATATAATGAGAATGAAAGAGAGATATATTCCCAACGGGAAAAACCCACACCGGAGTCAAGATATCGGACTGGACAGAGGGCCTACCTCGAGTCAGAAAGAGAACCTCAACCATCGCGTAAGCAATCTGGCGACGAAAGTTTCAGCAAACCGGAACAGTCCTTGGTATTGAGAAAAGAACCTGAGCAGTCCATGGTGGTGAGGGAAGAAGAGCCCGCAGCTCCGCGCTCAATCGTTGGCCCGGTTCCTGAAGATCAGGATGTGAGAGAGTGGCTCATAGTTACAGGTTTTCATAACGTAGAATACAGAACTAAGGTTTTAGAACGTCGACGCAAACTTGCAGCTTTGGACGAAGAGCGGAGGCAGCTCATAGAGGAGATTGCCATCGAAGAAAGAGGCGCAATAGCACCCACACCCGTCCAAGCGTCTATGATGCCACCTCCGGGCCAGATCAAGATTGAGGTCGCGAGAATTAACAGCCAAATTCTTCCGTCTCGAAGTACACCAAGCCAATCTAATAAGCGCTCTCATAGCGATGTGGGAGATTCGCCAAAACAAATGGCTGTAAAGGTAGCCCGCACTAATGAACGTGTTTCAGAAGTTGGATATAGGGAAAGCGAGGGTTTTGAGCCCAACCGACCTAGATCGGATGGCACCTCCCGACGATCATCTTTCGATCGCCGTGACGGTCGACCCAGAGAACCATCACGTACGAGGTATGATGATGATCGTAAGATCCGAAGTCGGGGCAATAGCCGTGAACGAGATCAATCACCTGGTCGTAGACCATATGAGATCAGATCACGACCTTACAATTATGATGAATCTTATGAGCAAGACGAGCGCCCTAGTGGTCCTCGAGCAAGTGGTTATCAAGGATTTAATTATGATCCGGAATATAGAGGCAGAGGTCGTGGTGGACGTGGTGGTCGAGGTGGTCGTGGTAGAGGGCGCGGCGATGCTTACGAAGCCAAAACTGCGAAGCCCTTGAGGGGTAGCAAAGCTAGTTAGTAAACGAGTTTTCGCTCCGCCGATGAACAATAGTCTACCCAAAAAGAAAAAAAAGAAAGAAAAAGAAACGTGAAAATAGGAGCAGTCGGTGTGTTTTGTATAATTTGATTTCTGAAAAGCGTTACCCGCACAAAATTACCTACGTTTGCATAGTAGAACAAATACACATTTTTATGAAAACTTGATACTGTGTTTGTAGTGTTAGTAAAACTCATTGTCAACCTTTTACCACTGTCTCTATATTAATATATGTCGTCTACTTCTATTTCCACTAAGTCATTCTCTGAACACCATTCTACGCCATATAACCCATCCCATTACCCAAACGCAACCTTTCTACCCAACGAAATCCCATCATCTAAACACTCCTCAAATCAAATCACCCAACTCTAAACGCCACACATCACTCACTCACTCCAACATATCCAACCCTCTCCTCTCCCACTCCCTCAACTCCTCCTCCCGAAACCCCGGCGACCCCGGCATCCTCACTCCCGGACTCAGTCTCCCCCTTCCTCCTTTACTCTCATCCTCCTTCGACGACGCTGATTCCCCGCTGATGAGTCGCGCCATCATAGCTAACTCCGACAGTTCTGCCGCCGCGGACGGTTTAGCCGCACTTCCTTTCCGAGAGAGCTCGCGTGGTGAGAGGCTGGAGGGGAGGTGCAGGAGGGAGGCGCTGGGGATGGGGATTGGTGGGGGGCGGTGGTGGTGCGGGTTTGAGCGGTGTCGGGTTGAGGGGGGTGGTGGTGGGGTGAGTGACGGGGTATGTGTTGGTGATGGGGTTTGAGATTGGAGATGTAGTGGTGAGAACATTTTCGTTGGGTTAGGCATCTCTGGCATCTTATCTGGCTTGAAACTCGGCGAGTGAGCAGTTCTGGGCCTTGAAAATGATCTCACATCTCTTTTCGTCGTCGCCCGTGAGGTTGAAGGTCGGTCACCCACATGTCTTACATCTTCTACTCGATGTCTGCTCCGATCCAGAGAATTGGTTCTTCGACGAGTGGTTTGTGGTGGGACGGGAAAGTCATCTAGACTTGCTTTGTCTTTGGCTTTGAATTCTGAAGTTCGTGGGCTGAGGGATTGTTTTATGCGTGTGAAGATTGTGGGGGGCATGATGTTTGTGGTGTTATCTTGATGAAGTGATGGGCGATAAGCTTGAATGGGTGTGAGGAGTGAAGTTGAGTTTGAGGTTTGAGGTTTGAGATGGGGTATATAGACTATGAGATGGTATGAGAGGATATGAAATGAAGATAGAAAGTTAGAGGTACGTCGTATCTAGTGTCGTATTTTGGTAGCGAAAAGGGTTGGCTTTGAGATCGACGTCAGGGGTTTAAGCGAGGTGATGGGAAGCGAGAGTTTACATATCGGATGGTTATAAATAGGGTATGAATTAAAATCTTGAGCGTTTGTGTGTGGTGATTGAAGTTCGGAACCGAAAGACTTAGTCGGATGTAACTTTTTGGAAAAATCGTGATGTAAAGTTGTAGTCATTACTGTGGTTTTTTATTTTGTTGAGAAAATCTTTATCAAAAGTAAGTTTCAAATCCCTAACTTCTTCATATCTCAGCTCTCAAATTATTACGTTTCGCAGCAGATTATGATGAGACATTATAGAATGGAGATCTTTCCCAATAATTGCTATGCATGCATAGACCTTGTCGTATTTGTGTCTCAAAACTTTGTTTTGCGAAGCCACTGTGCACTATTTTAGCACCGAGCATTGTCGTGGATGTAAACGAAGTATGACTTGTTTAAGATTGTGATGCTTCTAAGTTATTGTAATATTCAGTTGGGTTATAGTGTTGATCTTTTTATATTTAGAGCACAAGAACATAGTAGTCGTCTAGATATTAGTACCTTATCGAATGCTCACATTAACAGATATTACTACTTTAGTTGCATATCCCGGCTTAATGAACTAGAAGGAAGGAGGAGTACTTATGTCTTCAGCTTCACAACTGTTAAACAGGCCTTTTCTTAATAGAATTCTCGATTAGAGACTAAAACATGTTTCTCATCTGGAGACCTTAATGCATGTATCTCCTAGAAACCTTGGCCAAACTGGATTTTCCCTCATAATCTATGTAACATAAGTTACTTTTCAGAAAACACTAATGAACAAAGTATTTCACTTTGATTTTAAGAATAATAGAATAAAAGGGGAAGTGTTCCACCCTTTTTGGTGGACTTCATAGGAAGTCTCGGTCTGATCCAGCCGAAGCCGAGTTGTTTTTATACACTATTATGTGAACGATCGTTCTTACATCTACAAGCCATTCAAATCTGGGTATGTGATAGCATATTCCAAAATTTCATTTCCAGAAATCAATTTATTGTCGGTTGTATTCTCGAATTTCCTACTGACATATACTCCCACTCCAAGATCAGTACACGGCTTTACGAACTACTTATCGTCCTCCTCGACCTTACTTCCAATTTTATGGCCTGCAATAACAATATCTAAGTTGAGACATAAATACTCCTGCTCAGTCTTACATCTCGCTAGGCTTATATGCCCGCTTAGATTTCCTCCTCTAGTTTCTAAGTGATATCACACATTTACTATTATCCTTCATTCTTTGTGATCTTCGATAAGGGACGAATCATTTCAACAGATCCAACAGTTTCAAGGCTCTCTCTTGCTGAAAGGCAATGCAGACCAGTTCCTTTGGTGGCCTCTCTTTAAATTCCCTGGATAGAGTGGGGCGTATAAAGTTGGAAGAATTCGTTCACAGCTCGAATCATAACTTTGGGAAGTAGCACTGTAGTCTGCACAACTTTTGTGGACTTTTTCCTTCGAAATCACCTAGATGAGTAGGAGAGTTTGAATCAGCGGTATTAACTTGGAAGTTGCAAATCCTGTTGAAGACAGAGGAGGATGATGGTCTTCGACGGTGGGGGGGGAGGGGGGTACACTTGAACTCGTGCAGTTACACTCCACAGGTTCTCGCCACTAAACGCGGGGAAATACCTCATGTACTTAGATCCTTATGATACTCCATCCTAGACGGTCATCGAATCCAAGTGATTCGCACGGCTGAGGTAAAAGTAAATATTCACAACAGTACTTACTGCAAGTCCGCGGCACTCAAAGATTACCTGTGTATCATTAAAGCACTAAGCTACCAAGGACTTAGAATTTATCCTGGTAATTCTAAGCCCTATCACCCCATTTAGAACCCCGAAACGATTTCTTTTTGGAATCCGAAGCCAAGAAGCCAAGAAGTTGACTCCATCAGATCCATACCCTTATAGCTGTCTTTATTGCCAACCAAGACGCGGAAATCCATATTTTGAGTAGTTACTATGACCAGGACTGAATTTGCTTTTAGTATTTAAAACGCTCATTATTTGGATTTCAAGTTACTTGAATTTCTCGTTCATTCAGATAGCACGCAAATCTAGAATATATACCATCAAGACTCGGCATGCTTCCACATACGACCATAGACTGAAGAGAACAGGGCATCCCGTCCGCTCTGCCAAACTCAAGCTTCAGATCGGTAGATTAGTAGTTGGGTGGGTGACCACCAGCGAATACCTACTGTTGTATGTTTTTGTGAAGTTTATATTTTTTTAGAAAATTATAGAAAATTAAACTACCCGACGGACTTTACTTACGTGCATTATCATTTCCTTTGGCAGCTGACACTTTCAGAGTGGGTCAAATAAGACGTATTTTCTACGATAGCATAATCTAAGAAGTTACATACATTTGACAATGCCTGAGCTCGAGGCAGCAAATTAGATTCGAAGAGGCTAGTGCTGAGAATTAACCATCTGGAAAGGATGAAACATGCGGTTTTCTCCTATAGAACAACACCTTGTGTCACAGCGCTCAACTGATTCTTTCTCATGAAATATTCCGATAGAATTGCCAGAATTGGTTACTGAGTTGTTGTCAAAGCTGACCGGAGAGCAAACGCTTAGATTTTAAGCGAGGATTGTACCTTTCGTACTTTCGTACTCGAAATTGGACGGATCTTATTTTTCATCAAGTTCGGAACATATAGATGATTTTCCTTGCTCAGAAGCGGTAGTTGTTAATTTCTTCAATTCACGATAGAAAGGAATACAAGTTGCTTTTTTCCTGGATAATCAATTGCAAAGGAGGTGGATCATGTGACCTAGTGCGGAAGTTTTTTAATAACCGTGCCGCATACCCGCTTTTCCACCGCACTTGCGTTGCTGAACGCGACATCTCTTCTCTCCTCATTGAGGAACCCCTACAAAAATGTTGAAGAACAATTGGCTAACCAAACAAACGCACCTACATACGCGTCCCCATGATAGAAATCGCGGAGTTCATCTCAAATTCACAAGCCTCATTGAGCTCATTCTTCCTTGTTCCAGGTTCTTTTCACGCCTGGAATTTGCCATACCAGGTGAAATACTACCTCCTGACTCGCAATTTCATTTGACGCTGTCAGTTTTTGTGCAAGGTTGCGTGTCGATGCCGGCAGTAGTCGTGATTCCGCTGCTTTCTTTAGCATCTTTAGCCACGTTAAACTTATTTCCTCGTTGATAGGCAAGTCACTCAGTACCGAAGCGAGATGAGGAGAAGACGTTGGGCCAGAACCTTCCTGGTTGAGTACGACATCATTGAGGTCTACTCAGCCCTGATCCAATCTACGATTGTGGAATCTGATAGTCATGGTCTGTGACGCCGTTGATGTGACAATGCTCCGAAGTGTTCAAAGGTAAGATAAATGGCCCTCCTCCTCCTGACTGTCTTTTTCCTTCATCCCCGGTGCTACTTCTTTCAAGCGCTCTCAGTGGATCTTCTTTTCTTATTTCAACCATAAAAACACTCGTTGCAACTACAGCTTTTCCAAAAATGCGCACCACTTCCTCCTTGGCATTGGCTTCGACTGCCATGGTTGTTCGAGCGGCGAGTCTCAGCGACATCTGCACGACGTCCTACGTATCAGCAGCTCTGCCAGTTACCGGATTTTATACCGGAATTACTATCAACCCAGATTCTCTTACAGTCAATGCTGTCGCCAATACCACTGTCACAGGTCAAGACTTCTTTCCGGATGCCACCTTCGATTACTGCAATGTTACTTTTACCTACTCGCATGATGGTCTGAATGACTCGGTCACCAACAACTTCTGGCTCCCAGCCCCTTCGAAGTTTCAGAATCGCTATCTCTCTACGGGCGGCGGTGGTCTCGCTATAAACTCTGGAGATAACTCACTGCCAGCAGGCATCATCTACGGTGCAGTGGCAGGCAAAACGGATGGCGGGTTTGGTGGTTTCGGAAACAATCTTGATGCGGAAGGCGTTATGATATTGGCCAATGGAACACTTAACTGGCACGCAGTCAAGATGTTTGGCTACCAAGCTCACAAGGAGATGAGCGCAATTGGCAAGCAGCTCGCAAAGAACGTCTTTAGCATGAATGGCACGAAGCTGTATGCATATTATCAGGCATGCTCTGAAGGTGGACGAGAGGGTTGGTCTCAGGTCCAAAGATTCGCTGATGAATGGGATGGCGCTATTACTGGCGCACCTGCCCTCCGATTTGCTCATCAACAAGTCCAACATTTGTATTCCGGTGTGGTCGAGAAAACAATCGGATATTCTCCTCCTCCATGTGAGTTGGAGAAGATTGTTAATGCGACCATCGCTTTTTGTGATCCTCTTGACGGGAAGACTGATGGAGTTGTTGCACGCACTGACCTCTGCAAGTTGCAATTCAACATCAACAGCACCATTGGTTTGCCATACTATTGTGCTGCATCTTCTCCATCGGGACCCTTTGGCAAACGACAAGTCGGGGCTGCTTCAACTCCAGCACAAAATGGAAATGTTACGGCTCAAGGAGTCGCCGTTGCCAGCAAGATTATCGATGGACTCAAAGATTCTACAGGAAAGCGTGCCTATCTTTCCTACCAGCCGGCTGCATCGTTCGAAGATGCTACGACAAGCTACAATTCTGCAACCGGCGAGTGGGAAGTGGCAGTCAGTGGTCTAGGGTCTGAGTTTCCTGTACGCTTTCTTGAAGAGCTTGATGCGGATAACTTCGAGGCGGGTCAATTCGCGAACGTTACCTATGACACCCTCAGAGACTGGATGTTCTACGGATGGCAGAAGTTTGAAGAAACATTGCAGACTACTTGGCCTGACATCACTCCCTTTCAACAAGCAGGTGGAAAGGTTCTTCACTTCCATGGTGAAAGTGACAATTCCATTCCGACTGCTTCTTCAGTCCACTGGTACGAGTCCGTTCGCTCCATCATGTATCCAGATCTATCATTCAACGAGAGCACAACGGCGCTGAATGACTGGTACCGACTCTTCCTCGTTCCTGGTGCCGCTCATTGCCAACCAAACAGTCTACAACCAAATGGACCCTGGCCACAAACCAGTCTTGCAGTCCTGATTGACTGGGTTGAAAACGGAAACTCGCCAGAGACTTTGAACGCCACCGTTCTTCAGGGTGATTTCAAGGGTCAGGAACAAGACATTTGCAGTTGGCCCCTCAGACCGATGTGGAGTGGGAATGGAACAAGCATGGCTTGTGAGTACGATCAGGCCAGTATTGATACTTGGATGTATGACTTTGACGCTTTCAAACTGCCTGTCTACTAAGAGGGAAGAGAAAAAGAAGCTAAACATGAGACCAAATGTCATCAGATGACGGGATTCATGGGGATGGGGTGGGATTGGCAAGGGTGTACAAAAAAAGGAGTTTGTTCCTGGGAAGTAGATATACAAATCCCAAAAGGATACTGTTGGGTGATATCGAGTGGTCTTCTTCTTCACACCTGTAACTCCTAGATTCATTTTGAATTCAGATAGATGCTCTTGATTGTAATGTTTGAGTATATGGTTCAACTTCTTTGTTTTGATATTACTATGAGCACTAGACCTGCTATTTTTGGAACTTGGTTTTGGATAAAGAACCATGTCATTTCATTGATGAAGGTTGAATTGTCACGACTCCGTGTCTAGCATCTAATAATGGGTTGAGTACAGGTGAATTATCGGCCCCTCTAAGTCACATTGTTCTCTTCAGAACAAATTGTTTCTTGACAGATAAATGCTTGCCTACACAAACAGAGAAGTCAAGACAATCGTCTGCACAGTCCGCATTCATCAGCAAAGTAAGCATCTTAACTACCCATATCACCAACACTCTTCTTCAAAGAAAAATATCAAGGAACTTACTTACTAACTTTAGAAGCTTCACAGAAAACACCATCTCGAGTCAACAAACCACAATGGACTCAGGATCACAGAAAAGAATGGACGCAAAAGATGTCAGTTCCGAAAAAACAACCGATGCCAGCCCTTCCCCAGCCGTCGTGCGAACCAGCCAGCAACCACCAAACAGAAATGGTGAAAACCTCATGGACAGCAAGTTGATTTGCTCATTCGTGATCTTCACTCTCCTCGGTAATGCCTACGACGTAATGCGCAATAGTCACTGGGGTTTAGCTGCTCACTTGCTCTCCACAATCACCGTTCTGTTTCAGATCTTCTATCTGATAGGGAATGTGGCAACTCACGGCCCGAGACTGCCACGAAGAGCCCTGGATGTCATGCTAGTCGTTTTGATCCTGGATATGGTGGTTTCATTCATTAACTTGTATTACCTTTGCTTTGGATCGTAATCTTCGGCGAGCTCTCTGTAGAGGGACTTTCTAAGAGAATCTGCAAGCATTGAGGTATCCAGTGAAAGCCACCAACAATTCTGAATGGAAATAGACGATCACTCCAAAGGGAAGCCAGAAACTGCAATCGACTTCCCTCAAAACCAACTGAGGCGACTGGATGAATCTTAGGTCAGCATAGCAATTAAAAACATACAAAAACAAACAAATTCCGTAATATAGCAAGTAATTTACCATCATGCAGTCTCATCGTTTCATATGAGCCAATTAATTTCAGTGAACTGTAATTTAACATGATTTTAATTCAATAACCCATTCGCAATAGCAATAATACTTTAAACAATTCAATCATTTAGTTTATACTACTTTAACCCTCGACTAGAGGGGAAACATTAGGGTAATGCTTGATAAATTTGACTTGGTAATGGCCAAGATTCTAAACGATCCTGTTAGCTGGATGTTATGTTTATAATTACTTCGATGCTGTAGTTTTAAGTACTATCAATTCAAGTTAGTTTGAATTTCATTACCTACACTAAATCAAATCAAATCTAAGCATCTAACAGAAAACATCTGACTATCAATCTTGGAAGAGTCTTTGTCTTAAAATCGATCATCTTTTCCACACGATCACTCATTGTTCGGGTCTTTGTAACTTTAAAGCTTTGTTAACCAAACTTGTTCTTAGAACCCGCTCAAGTACAGGATCAATAGGAATGTTTCCAAAGTGAGTATATTTACTCATCTTTCCTACAGTGTTCTATATGCAAAACTTTTACAGTCTTTCTCAGAGTACCTAAAACCGAAGGCTACATTTATATCCTCTTCCTATCAATATCCTACAAAGAGAAAGATGGATAGCCAAACTCCCCTACTCCCAGTCAACAATTCTGAGGCTGAAAACCAAAGGACTTGTACTTATCCAGGCAGTAACGAACTCCCCTGTCATATCAGCTTGATTATTTTTATGGGCACGGCTATTTTTACTGCGTGGTGCTACATCAATGATCTGGAGATCCGCCATGTAGCTCTTCTCATTCAAGCCTCCGCGGTCATCGTCTTGCACAGTATCTACCTTGTCATGGAGTACGCTCGTCGTGGCACTGTTGATATCGGTTTCTTCACCTACTTCATCTTCTTGACTGCTGGGGTTGTAGTGGTGAAGGCAGTTTTTGGAATGAATCACTAGTTTGTGCACCTATAGTGACTGACAGTCAACCACCCTCATCCATAGTTGATCTCTCAAATTTCATGGATGTTTGAGGGTTAGAACCAAAACGACTAATCACTAACAATTAAATCAATGAAGTCTATAAGTTGTGAATATGAATATGACTCCGTGTGAAACGAGTTTTGAGTGATATGATTAAAGATTGGATTTCCATTACACAAGTCTTCAAATGATTCGTGCGAAGACCCCAATATGGCGATATATCCAAGCGGGCAGGATGTTACATGGAATTGCTTCACCAACAAACTGGATTAAACCTAGAGATGAGGCACTGAACGACTGAAAGTAATGTGTTTGAACAAGCCGGTAGTAACATTCGTTATGTTGCCTTATTCGCCTTCCATGGTATGAATTAGACATGAAGTAAGACATGGCAACATGACACGAGTAAAGAACAAGCCGACGTGTGTTGTTCAAAAGTTGATGGAAGGTTAAAAAGCCTCCTTTATCTTTCATCTAAACTCAAACACAGACGCACACAACGAACACAGTCAACAGACAATACCATAGGAAGTCAAGCTCAATCAATAACATCAAAGCTAATAAGCACACCAAAAAGTCACACCGCCAATTCTAGCGATCATCGCAAAATGCTTGAGCTCTTCATATCACTCGGACTAGTGATACTCAACGTCCTCGCGGCAATCATCGGCTACACGGAGCTACTTTACAACGATGAACGACCAGTCATTTTCTTGATTGATTCGATGATTGGTTGGGTTGGCTTGAGCATACTCTTGATTTGCCTCATTGCCATCCAGAACTATCGATCCAACAATCCCGGAGATAGAGCAAAATCACCCCCTTCGATTCTCTTAATCTTGATGGCCTTCTTTGTGGTCCTGTTCTTCCTTCCCTCGCCCTCATCGGAAGCCGTCCCCGCCCAGAAAGAGCAATTGGCTACTACTACTACCACTACCAGAATTTCAGTCACTTGCTCCTCGAACCAGGAGATCTCTGCACCTTTTGAAAGCAAGGAACCGTTGAAGTGTCACACTTACGGTGGACAGCACAACGCGACCGCTCAATACTGTGTCCCTTCAGAAAGGTTCTCTGATCCTACTCCACAACTAGTTATAGGCCACAGAACAGATCAGGTCCTTGGCGATCAAGAACTTCGACTGGTGACCAGGGACAATCAGTCTTGTTGGATATATCAAATGAATACAGGAGAAGATAGTGCTGAGAAAGGAATAAGTGGGGGTGAAATACACTATTGTATGCCCTTGGGTTGCCAGGCATCCGAAAATGACTGTCACCTTTCCCCCCCAGTAATCATGTTTTTGTGGGATAATGAACCAAGCAGTTCCTAATATTCCAGTTGTAGATTCCTGAAATATGAACCATTATAATACATGTATGAAGATCCCAATGACAACCCTAGACAAATTAACTTGAACTAAAAGTAATACCAGCCATGGTCCAGTCACGATTTCTCACATTTGTGATATTAACAGCATTGATGAAAGCCTTCTTTAGTTGTGATTAGTTAAAAAAGGCAAGGGGAGAAAATCTGACCTATCATAAATACGCTTTCGTATCCGTTAAACAAATATAAACTTTCAAATAACAGCAACGCCCAGTGCGCTCAAGCCAAAATGTATTCCTCCAACTGCGAGCTGTAAAGGTTTTATTAATGCAACATCATCTGCACTTTATTTAAGTTCTCTTCTATATTCTTGGCATGTTGTAAGTTGTAAGAACTCAGTTTGTCATATTACTAGCTGAAGGATAATAACTGCTAAACCAATAAGCGAATACTTTCATAAAACAGCTATAACCACGAAGATAATGCTACCTAAAGCTAAGCTCACCTGCAACGTGAACCTGAAATGAATATGAGGTATAAGTCCGAGACTATGTTATATTGAGGCTGTGTAAATCCTTTCTTGTTCACCTTCTGTTCAACTCAAATGTAATGTTCACTAAAGCTTTAAGTGGACGTGGGTTCTTTTGCTCAGCCACACTCAAGAGTGGTCGATACCACACCATCCTCAATCGGCTATAAAACCCCCAGGATGTTTCTCGATCTTATTTTTTTTTCACATCAATCCAAACAAACATTTACTGCACCCTCATTGTATCACCTCAAGTTACTTAGGACACAGCAGACATCACAAACTTCTGTTACGCAATCTTTGCTGTACTACTCTTCAACTTCCTCATCTCAACCATAAATTCGACCATAACTTCCAATATCTTCGGAGACTTTCCTGACAAACACTTCCAAAGTGCTCCAGCAACTCATGTGCAATGCCTCCTTCCCAGCCACAGCGAGCTCCATCGAATAATGATGAAGCCGAAAAACAATCCGCAAATCAAGAGACTCCCACGTTCCGCCAAATTTCAGAATTGATCGTTGAGTGGCTCGTCAATCTGGATTGCTTTATATACATGGGGCTGTTCATTCTGGGAATGATGGTGATAGTTGTATCGGGGTTCAGCGGATTCTTCGACACCCAAAGGAACACTGCTCTGATTTGTGGCATCCTCATGGGACGGGTCGCCTTGGGTCTTGTCTTGATTTATTATTCTCGGCATACAATGCATCTTCGCGACAAGAACCAACACGTTCCTATAACTGCCTTGGTAGTTTTGGGCAGCTCGTTGGCGATTGTTTACTGGGCTCATGTGGATGCACTCTCCTTCATAGAGAAAGCGGGTGAGAAGTGGTGCGACGGAACTGAGATACCTAGGTGGCCCTTATATCCATGGTTGTGGCATAGACATGCTGTTCTCGGAAGCCAATCGTTTGGGGAAGGTATAGGAGAGGTAACAATCCTGAGATGGGGATTATAACTCAACTCGGTCTGAGTGTTCTTGAGAAATCAATCCCACAGCAGCTTTGCGAGCTGAGATACTTATCATGGGACGGGGACATATTTTGTCTGAAGAGAAGGGGCTATCAAGTGTGATTGACGTATGAAAATCTTTCATAATGATTGGGACTGGTGGATATGTTACTAGGAATCAGTTCAGTCTCCATAAATAACCATAACTTTGAGTCTAGCGTTCCAGTATCTCCAACTGACTATCATGTTCCTTTTTGCAACTAAACCCACATAACAGTGATAACATGCTTAAAGCCTGAGAAAGCAGAAGTTGTGCTGTAGAAGATACAGCTTCTCTGCTCTCATCCCTGCCTTCATTGTTCTCGTAGCGGTCTTACTCCCGTCCACCTGGAATACTTCGATAGCCGTGCAACTTATTTGAATAAATTCAGTTGAAAACTATGCATGATATGCTGCAGAGCAATACAAAGAAAGATCACGAGCAAATTCCCTAGATAAATGTTCAGAAGTACAGCATAAACTCATACAACAATATTTACAAAACAAATCCATGCTTCCCCAGAAATATGCTACACAGAAACGATTTACACGACCTCGAACAAAAACGCCCCAATCTCCAAATAAGGGTATCCACAAATAAGATTTCATCTAACCAAATCCGAAACTATTCTACAAGAATGAATCCAAAGACGACTAAGCGCTCCCAGACAAAGCACGCTTTGCCCACTTAAGGCTAAGACCGCTTCTCTTGTTGTTGTTGTTTCTGTTGCCTCTTCCGTTACCGGCGGCGGCATTTCCATTCCCGGTGGCTGCGTTCGCATTTCCATTGCCAGTGGCGGCGTTGGCATTTCCATTACGGTTTCCGCCTCCATTCTTGTTTCCATTGTTTGTGGCCGCTCCATTTGCAGCGGTAGTAGCAGCCGCATTCGCCGCACTGGTCGCAGTAGCAGCTCCCCCAACTCGAGCAGTACCAGTGTTCGTTGCTACGGCGGTATCTTTGTTGGTTCCGATGTTTTCACGGTCTGGTGTCTGGACTGGGGCAGCGACAGAAGTTACAGCTAGGCCAGCGAGATCTACGAACCATTAGTAAGATTGAACGGCCAGAATATTCAAGGTGGTTTACCATCAGCAACGGCTTTGGCTGCGACGTTTTCTGCTGTGCCAGCCTTCTGGTTACCATCAACAGCGGCTGCGAGATCAACATTGTTTTGCGAGATTTGTTTGTTGATGCCGTCGAAGGTTTGAGCAGTTGGGATTTGTTCGGCGGAGTTTACGGTTGGAGTGTTATCGATCTGCTGAACTGCGAAACAGCCTCCAAATGGGCCTGCGACTGCGTTGTTTCGGCATCGAACTGTGCAAACGTTTCCGGTGGAAGCTAGAGATACGATTAAAACCGCCCCAATGATAATAAATTAATATGACTTACCTCCTACGCAGTTGAGATTGGCTGGCATTTCAACATTAATAGTGAAATCTTCCGTCTTCGCCTGAGAGAAACCGTTGACTCCAGGAATGTTGTTGGTGACAGTCAGGTTTTGCGAGATTATACCAGCATTACCTTCCATTTGTTAGTAACTGGGCTCTACGTTGCGTTCTTAGTGACTTACTAGTCTGGTCGAGGTCACAGACATAAGGACCGGCACCATCGGCGTTGACTTGATGGATTGTAACAGACATGATAGTGCCGGCCTTGACCTGTGTGATGGCTCCTGCAGCAATTGCATTCTCTGTGTTCTCTCCAACATCGATGTTACCGGTCAACTCAGTTCTTCCACATTCATTAACGATGTTGGCGTTGATTTCAGCATCTCGAATGATGGTTGTATCCTGTTGGCAGGGACTGATACCAGTGCAGTTTCTGGCGATCGCAGGATCAACTGTTTTCAAAATTAGTATCTCAGATTCTTATGTAATGTTTAATGAACACACCTTGAAAACCAACACTGGTTGGAGAACCCTCTTCACCGACCGCACCGAGAATCACACCATGGCAGCTGACAACGGAAGCGAAAAATAGTGCAGCCGCACTGTAAATAGAAGAGGAGTGCATGTTGAAGAGTAGTACGTGTCCGGCACAAGTAAAGAATGAATCAAAGTACAGAAAAATGAGAGAATCACCTGGATCTCAACAGAAAAGAACAATTAGATGCGGAGAAATGAAGGTGGATGAGTTCTTGGTGTTGTTGGAGAGAACCCTCCATTATATCTGGACATCTCGAAGCACCTACAAACCAGCTCATGCCAAGATAGTACAAAACGAGAGACTGCCGTCACCAGGAGGTCTCCACCAATTTACAACCGTCTAACACCTCTTGTTACGCAAATTATGGAGAAGTGTTCTATCGTTAGATCATTGATTGGAAGCAAAGTCGTGGAATGTGGACAGATGCCCACCGACTGAAAACAATCGGGAAACATGGCAGGGGAAGCGTCCATTCATGCCTGCCGCAACATCAGACAACATTGGGATTAACGTTGGGATGGCAGATCTGAACGAGAAACATGCTACTTTTGGAGATCCACTTCATGGAGCGTTAAAGAACAGCTCAATGCGGGCGCCAGGCCCAGGATTTTCGGCACATACCCGCTCTCGCTTGAGGTAAACTTTTTTATTAAGAAAGTACTATCGCAGGTTAAGCTTAAAAAAAGCATAGATGTATGGTTAGTCCTCCTGGTTGACATCGGAAATTGCAGTGAAAGTGTCTTTTACCTTTCAAAAACACATATGAGTGCTGCTGGCAAACACTGATCCCAAGATTCGTGTACGCGCAACAACAATCATAGTATCTGGTCTGCGACAAATTAACTGGAGTAAAGAGTCGTCGCCTTGCGACTCGCGAGGCACATGTTGTCTGACCCGCCGTGCTCACGGGGCAAGAGCGAATGTTTTCTAGCATTAATCAGGCAAGTCACAGCCTTGGCTGTATGAGAACGGTGGGGTTCAGAGAAACGGCAAGTTGAGTCTTAACCTTCAACGGTCAAGCTTGATTATTGCTCCGCTTTGGGGATCGGTGGGGCTTGTTTCGCATGTTTTGCGCGATGATCCACCGCGGCGCCCAGCGACGTCCACTTAAACCTTGTTCAAGATGTCCGACAGCCTGCCACGCATCATACGGAAATCCTCATATGATTGTGATATAGAAATCCAAAGAAATCTTTTTTTGACAAGCCCTATGTTCTGGTAGCGTCATTCTCTATCGATATTGTTCGAGTCGAGGGCACTATTCTCCACAGTCGTCAGGACTGCGAGTAATGGAATTTAAGCGAGAACACCAAGGAGCTCGAACAAGCCTTCGGAACTTTATAGCCATGATTTAATCAATCTTGAGACCAGAGAACTCTAAATTCTTGATAGCTCCCTTTTGCTCTTAATTGAATGAAAGAATCTAGTGATTCTGCAAAAAGATGAAAAAGAGTTCTAGACAGAAGTAACTGCTAGAGGCCAGAAAATGCTAGTTGGAGTCGAATGAGTTTCATCAGCTCTGATTTCCTAAAAGCCGATTAAGAAAAGCAGACGCCTGTAGCAGACGTGAGAGTATTGTGCTATTGAGCACATGACCTCGGCCGTCCATAGGAAACCGAGTAGGAAAGATTAGCTATACTAAATTTCCGCTCAGGGCATGTTATCGTCTGATGTAGCCGTACGCACCATTCGGCGGATAAGAATAGATCATTAGACGAAGAGAGACATATGTCATACGTCAGCCAACACTTGTTGAAACAACAGTCGAAACATGTGCTCCGACGATGCTTCGCGCGAGTCGGACAGTATCGGACTACTTGGGCTCAATTGTAAAGCCGTTGATTGCGCACGCGGATAGAACCGCTTGCAACGTGCATTGTGCGTACTGCCGTTTGAAACAATCCTGAGCTTCTGGAAACGGTAGTTGCGAGGCCAACTTTCATCTCAACTTTCAACATAACACAAAACAGGCACACCCGCCCTACTTTTACAGCTTGTTTATTAAATTGTTGCTGTAGCTTAACAAATATATTCGTACAGGGGGAATTCGAGTGAAAGCAGAAGTATAAGGCCATCCAAAGTACCCATTCCTTGTTAAGGTAGACCCGCGGCCCAAGCCCGATTTCCCATTTAATCCGAACTCCCTAATCCAGATGACTCCTTATTGCCAGCATTTTAGGAAGTTTAGATGGTATCAATAATTCCTCACTTCCTACTTCCTATTCATCCTCTGCCTCAGCATCTAGATCTCCAGTAATCAGCGGCGCATCCTCCATTTCCTCGTCAACAGGTTCCTCGACAGCTACAGGCTTCCCAAGAGGCCCTTTACCAATCAATGGACCTTTGCCACCCAAAACAGGTTTCCCTAGTCCTTTTCCTCGAGTAGATTCTCGATCACGGCGCTTCTTCTGCGCAGGAGTTTCGTAAACGATTCCATCTTCGTCCTCTCCTGGAATCTCCCCATCATTTTCGATCTCGTCATCACCATCGCCCAAGATCACTTCCTGTCCTAATCGACTTCTCTGTTTTGATAGTTTTGGTGGCATTCCTGGACCACTATCAGCATTGCCAAAATCACCCTTCTTAGTCCCCTTAGGCCATCGACCAGGTCCGCGACCAGTGCCTCCACTCTTCCTCCGTCCACTGGTCCGAGAATTAGTTGAACGTCGCGATGAACCTCCACCAGATCGCGATGTAGCAGGACGTGAAGGCGTGCCGTTCGTTGTTCTGGGCCGAGGCCTAGACCCAGACGCGCGAGGTGTGGCACGGTTTCGAGTTCCGGGAGGCGGGGGGAATACCTCAAATCGTGTTGGAGCGATTGCAGCGGCTGCCTCGTAATATGACAACTTTTTGGGAACGCCATTAACTTTGATTTGGACTCCAGAGCCATTCACGGAACCATGAGAACCCCCATTAACAACCGATCCAGCAAGCTTAGTCGTTAGTTTCCCCATTGATTCTGTCACGATAATCGTGTCTTCATCACCGCCCGCAAATGCCTCGAAATCCCGTTTACTGCTTTCAGGCAGACTACTCAACTCGGTACTGTCATCTTCCTCTTCACGAGGGGCAACTACGCCAAGTGGCGGTACATGATCGAACGCTGCGGTATTACCCCTGCCCATGATATATGGTGTCCAGACGAGCTTTTTCGGATTTATTGAAGCATACTCTTTCGCTTCATGGTGTTGAATCACATCTTTATACAGCTCTGTTCTCAGCTGCAAAGCGTAGGTTCCTGTAACAGGATCGCGAATCAAGGCTTTCAATTGCTCAAGAGCCGAGACGATGTCGTCAGGAGTAAGGCCAAGATCGTCAGACATCGTCTTGATGCTCGGTATCTGATCACCAGCTTTGAAATCTTTGAGGTAATGGCACAGAACAAGGCGCCAGTAATTGCGATATGATACCAATCCCATATCCGAGAGAGGCTTTTCGGGAGAGCCAGTCTTCTTTTCAACTCGTGTGAGAAGGTACGAAAAGTCAATGAGCAAATTGCCATAACCCTTGCGCTGAAAGATTGGGAGAACCAGAATACAAGACACGTTGTTCAGACTAGTAGGACGTTTCTCTTTCGAGAAGTAGCCCACGAAGTGGTAGCCTAAGTCGTCGTATTCAGTAAGAACGTAGAACAAAAATGGCTCCACATCGTAGTAAAGCGTTTTTGATCCTAGAAATAACTTGGCAAGGAGACATAGATTCTGGCAGTAAAGGGATTGCTTTCGGCCGTCAACTTCAAACATCGAGATATTACCGTCGCGGTATATCTCGTCCCCCGGTGGATGCTTCCAGGGACATTTTGTTTTGTGACGCCAGGCAACAGTAGCAGACTCCATGTATTTGAGGCAGAACTCGCATATGAAAAGTGCTTGGTTTCTACTGTATTCTTCGGGATATGGTGCAGCATACCAGATGTCAATCTGATATTGTCCGAACTCAATGTACTCGATTTGGCTTGCTGGCCCGGAGACTTTTCGTGGTTTCTTGATACCAGCCGTTGCTGCAGCCTCAGCAACAGCGGCAGTCCTCGCTTTCCACTCTTCTTCTGCTTTCTGCCTAGCTTCATCGAACTGTCTTCGGTGCTCGGGCTTAGGTAGCGTCAGCGAGGTGTCGGCTTCAGTCTCGTCCAAAATGCCACCATAAGGTTTTGATTGCAGCTCATTCATTTCTCTTTCATGTAGTGAATAGAAAGGCTGTGTATAAGTAGAAGGGGTAAAGGTGGAAACTTCTAAGGTGGTAGGTACGGCACGGCCACCAGGAGGGTGTCGAACTCGTTTCTTCACTGGCTTAGGAGCACGTGCCTGGATATGAGCAAGATCGGCTGGGTTTAGCTGAAACATCAACTTGAGCACCTGGGGTCCGCGTTCAAGAACAGTAACATATGAAACCTGTGCAACCTTAGGCCTTAACGATCTTTGGTTCTTTGGGCTTGTAGGCGATTGGAGATCGTTTTCTTCATCCGCTTTGGGTTCTTCAGAGGCAGGAATTTGGTTGGGTTCACCACCTGCGCGCTGCTTAGGCTGATTCCGCCGCCTTGGGACTACTGCACTGGGTTCTTCGGCATCCCCTGATATTGAAGATGGTTTCCTTTTGCGTAATAATCTTGATCCATCCAAGGGGTCGTCTGGGGCAATCAGTTGGTTGAATACCGAATGGGAGTCTGGCTTTATTGCTCTCTGGGATGGTAATAAATCGCCAGGAAGCCTGTCTCGTGATATTCGCCTTGCTGTGGCATCAAGAACTTCCTCGGCCTGGGGTTCTTCTTCAAGCTCGGGAACAAGATTGTTGGAAACACAGTCAGGGCAATACCACTTTTCAGCATCTACATGAATTAGCGCTAAGTCAAGGCAGAAGGTTAGAAAATCACTGACCGTCATCTGGCTTCAAGGCTTCTGCACCTCGAGCGCATTGTCTATGAGCTAAATACGTGTTAGCTCACAAGTAACGTCTTGTTGCAGGTCTACTTACCATTGTCGCCGCAAACAGCGCAGGACAGGTACATTTCAAACTCCTCGCTAGGGTCATTTTCCTCATCTTGTTGGCAAAATCTAGAATCCGTTAGTGACACGCAGTAAAACGAAGTAGATTAGTGACACGTACATGCATCGATTAGGATTCGCAATCTCTTCTTCTTCATCTTCTCCAGCCGACTTCCAACCCACCTCAATCTCCGCATCCGAGGAACCTTTTGATTCTTCGTCGTCATCTTCATCATCCACACTGGCAACGCTTTCATCATCTTCCTCTTCTGTTGCTGACATAGCTTCCTCATCATCCTCTAGAAGGCCAGGCTGTATTTTTACAGCACCGACCCCTTCCCCATCCTCCTCCTCTTCTTCCTCACTTTCCTCCTCGATATTCTGCGGCGAATCTGGCATGTCCTCATCTTCTCCATCCGCGTCCGTGAGCATGGCATGTTCAGTACTGAGATCATCATCCTCCGAATCGTCCCCATGATCTACACCTAGCCCATTCTGTAGTTGGTAGTTCGCAGCCACAGCATTCTCGTTTTCCGCCATCAGATCGTCCACTAGATCGTCCTCCTCATATTCGGCATCCTCTTCAGAGGTCGCCAGGCTATGCTGAAGCGCTTCATCCATTAAACCAACAGTAGCCGACATCTTGGTAGAACTTTAGCGCATGCGCAAATTATATGAATGTGCTGGACCGAAAGAGTGGCGCCCACACGCCTGAATGCCCGGTAGCGCAACCAAGAATGAATGCGCCTCGTCAAATTAAGTGGTAGCGCAATGGCCGTGATGTTATGCGTGACTTCTCAAGTCAATATACGGGCCTAAGACGCAAAGTTTGAAGGTTAGAATAGGATTTAAAAGGCTCAGGGAGATGGCAGACGCCGTCTAAGGGGGGGGTGGAGCTCTTGTGTTGGGGGTAAAGTTTTAGAGAACGCGAACCTGAAAGCCACAACTATCATAAATCGACCAGTAACAACGTTAAAGTAGAAGCATACAGATGTCCGACGCGTGAAAAAAGCTTGAACTGTTTGAAAATAGTGTCGTGGAATTGTGCTGTCGCTACTTTCTTCACTGTCATTCTGGAGGTGTCGTCCAAGGGTCTTCTTGATTAGTCATAATTTATCGCAAAGCCAGCCGTAGTTTGAACGTCAACCGATCAACCTCAACAACATAAACCTGACAATTGGACCAATACAACCGCATAGTAGGTCTTTTGCTGCTGTATTATGGATAGTGTACATGCTAATTACAGTACCAGAATTAAATTTCTGCCGCCGAGATGGGTGTTCCATTCGAAGCCCTCTTTCCATATGTCATCATGACTGCCGTTCGTCTTCCCCGCCCCTCGACAAAGCATCGGAATCAAGCAATATACTAAGGTGTGCAGTTCTTCGGTGTCAGCGGAGCAGGGTTATCAAAAATTAGACACATGCAGAATGGAGGGAAGAGAGCGCGTCACTCGGTGGATCAATGGGACAGAGTGAGTTTCCGTATCCGAGATGCTTGGGTCTATTGCAGAGATCTATAGTAGTTTGGTACATTGATTAACATTCTTGCAGCAAAGTAATCATACTTAAACCAGCGTCGCGAATGTTACTAAACATGTATAGTGATGGATCGTGATCGGAGATTGACCGGAATGTTACGAGGACAAACGGACCATGCAGATGCGCCCATAGGTTTCGAGCTCAACAATCCTTGGAGAGTACGTTTATTGCGACCGTACAGCATCGGAAATAATGCTGACATCTTTGATAGCTCGAGAAACGAATGATGTGAGGTCGGAACGATTGCGTGGGGATTTCGGAGTTGTACATACATATGTCTACGAGCAAGACATCCACTGGTTTCGAACGCTTTCTTACCAATAATGCAAACGAGCATGATGTGACCTTGTGAAAACGGCAAATTCGATATGGTACAATCTTGATTTGGATATCTCCACTATCATTGGAGAGCATCCAATGGCTTTGAGTTGATCGTAGCGTCACTGTCAGACCCTATACCGCTATTCGGGGTTGTCATCTTTATTGTGGCTCAAAGAATCGAGCGCCATACTAGAATCGTGCATCACTTGTGGGGAAAGTATTGCCTTCTTTGAGTTCCATTTGGCTATTGACATTTCCGGTTGATTGCGCATGTTTGGACAGCGGTCATATCTTTCAGCATTCAAAAATCCCAATACCAATTTCAATCTATACAACTGACTAAGAACAGAACTACGGTCGAACTTCTGGTGATAGGCCTGAAGATCCTGAATCTTCGGTTGAGGTCCAGATTTTGGTGAAGACTGCGGAGGCAGATCATTGGTAAACGATATCTAATGCGTATCGTCCTTAATTTCTCAGCCTATTGCCTACCGCTCGCAACACCATACCTGAAATTAGAATGATGAGGTTATTGGGACGTCAGAACTGCTCAATTTTAGACTTATGGATTCGCACTTCAGCCAGCTTTACCATGGAACTAACTGATACAAACCCTTGTTTGCTTGCCTGCTATCTGGAGTAATTGGCTGGTGCTAGTGTGATGTTAAATCTTGGGAGAACTATTTATGGTCACTCTCTGATATATGAGTACCGAGCTAGGTCAGTAACGATCTAGTTCAAGTACGACAGGGAGCCATTCGTATTCTTTTGTGCTCTGTGTGGATTTCTACGACGGCACTTAACGGCTGAAGACGAGAAGCCTGTTCATTGCGGAGATGACTTCAAGGGGGGGGGTAGTGAGAACGGATTATACCCTTGACCAATCAGGTACCTATATCTGTTACCCATATTTACCCAGTGGAAAGCAAAGCTCTATTTATTGCTAATGCCTAGAGTAGCACCATACCTCCCGAATCGAGAGGAAATCTACAGAAAATCCACATGCAATTATGCTTGACAACGATGTCAGGGATTTTGTTATTCAAAACGGAAATTTGCGAACCTTCTGGTACTACATTGTGGCATGTCAATCCAGTTCCAACATCAAGTGCAGCCTTTTCTGTCACCTCAGTCTCATCGTCTGATCATCATGCGGCGCCACAAACCATTGCCGCCTTCCCGCATTTACTACCGAAAGTTTAAGCCTCAACACTAGCGCCAAAACCTTAACTCTTTTGGGACTTCCTCAGAATGTCAGAGCTGCAGGGCTCTAAAATCGACAGAATAGGCGGTGCGACATGCAACAAAACTCATCATATCACCATCCAGCGTTCTTCACTTTAACTAACCTTCGAGTCCATGGATGCTCACAATGCCCATGACCTCACGCTAGTGCTAAACCCTTTCATTTTCTCAACACAAAAGACTTTACAAACCTCTCAGATTTCTGTTGTCGACCTGTCACATTAGTGCGATATGCAACAAAAGCCTCGAACATCCTCTAAGCTTCCTTCGCTTTATTCACTATCAACGGCGAGGCTGGTGCTAAACGCTAGCGCCAAACCTTACATAAGCGTTTGAAAAACTCGAAAATCGCGAGGCTACACGAGGCTCTCAGATCGTCGTTTTCGAGGGTGCGATGTGCAACAAAACTTTTTGCGGCTTGAAGCTTTCTTCACTTTGTGTGATTTTTGGGGGAGTCTGGCCGGAATTGCGGGGTTTTTGGAGGGATGGATGCGCGTCGAGGTGTGGAGGGATGTTTTTGAAGGATATCTCGAGATATCTGGTATTATGAGCTCTTCTTTCTTGATCAGTCGACGGCTGTTGGTGTGCTCTTGTTTGGATGGTTGGGGAAAGGTCTGCAAGTCCCGGACAGAGAGAAGCGATACATCATCTGCGTTCGCATTCCATGCTATCGCAAGTCAGTTCGCGTTGAAGAATATCTCTACATTACGCGTAGAACTGAGGGTATGGACTCGTCATTTCCTCTCGATGTCGCCGCGATACCCAATTGCCAACCCCCTTTTCCGCTCTGATCGCCTAGAGAGTGGGCATACCACTAGCTACTCCCCTCGCGGACAAACAACCTATTTTGAGCTCGCAATGTAGATACTACCTCAAAGAACCCTTCACATCATTTCCCTCAACAAAAAGAACCAGCATCGAGGATAACCCCAGCCTCGAAATTCGAAGCTATTTATAAAATCGCGGGCTTTTCATCAAACTCAAGGAAAGTCTAGTGACTGCTGATCTGGTTGAGTTAGTTATTGATTGCAATTCCAGGGAAACACTCGCAAGCAATAGAAATTCATATTCAATACGTCCATCACTTGACAAATCTAAATTCAATAATTGCCCCAGCTCCCAATATCAACACTCATCAACACCACCCAAGATATCTATTTCCACTCCCTCCAGGCACCACCCCAAAATCCATACACAATCAATTAATCTACCAATCAATCAAACAATTAATCCCACCCTCCAAAACGTCAGCCTAGAAAAACCCTCATCTAACCATCTAAAGTCCCAATATCCGAATTGTCCAAAACAGAAAAAGATCGACAGAGTCGTAACGTGGGGTAAACAGGGATGTATGATCTCGGAGAATTTTCATCGCACCGCAATATATAAATAAACCAACCTAAAGTACTACAAATGAACGGGGAGATTAATTGGCATGATGCATATATATTACCCTGTCCCACTCCCTCACTCGAGCAAGCCGTGAATGATAAAAAGAAAAACCCCACCAATGAATCAATCAATCACCAATTGCTAGTCCATCATTTCATAAATGAGTAATGATTTTCAGTCATGTATGTAATTGTATAAACTACAAAAGAATAATATCTCGCTCTTTTTCAAAACCAAACCACCAAAGCCATTCCTTTTTTTTCTCGAACAAAAGGAGCCACTTTCCCAGGGCCCCAACATGATAAAAAAAATAGGTATCTTTTTGTATCCAAGACATTACAATGTGTTCTATGGTGGGCATCAATATATAAATGCGCCTGCGCCTTATGAACAATAAACGTATTTGTCGTTGCCAAGTAATCCAACCTCTTTCTTCTTGCTTGAAATCTTTCCAATTACAAGGTATGTATCCAAACTCATTCCCCATGCCGAAAGCCTTGTGCTCGAAACTCTTTTAACCCTCCCTCAACAATGTTGCCAACCGCCCAAAGATACATGAAAGTTCCAGAAATCGAAGTTATGTCTAAAATCCGTGGACTAGACCCCGAAATAAGGAAATTGAAATTGGTATAAGTGTGTTTGCTGAATGCCGATCCCAACGCCTTCAACACTGTGCTGTACTGAATCCACCCGTTGTCCCTACGTATACAACTGGAAAGCCTGCGCTATGCTGGTGTCGTGCCGATGCTAAATCAAATGACCAAATGAAATATGCAACGAAATGTATCGTGTGTGATGTCTCTCTTTCCTAACCATGAAATTTCCAAGAACAATGCTTTTGTTACAAACAACGCCAATCCAAAACGGAGAAAATCACTCTCGTGAGGGATTATGTATGGCAATTAAGTAATGTGATCCTTGACCTATGCTCTTAGAATGCTTGACTCTGGTCGAGCCTCTCTAATTCGCCTGGGGCACTGATCGAGGTCTCGTGTGGCGCACTGCTTGACATTAAATTCCCGACAAGAGAAGCCGTGGACACATGTTGTAGTTGCTGAAGTGGGAATTCATATTCCCTGGCTCGGCCCATTGCTCCCATCGAAGTTCCAGTCGGACTATAGGTTGTAGGGCTGGTATTCATGCGTCCAAATTGAGGAGGGCCCATTGCAAGCTGCCCTAGAGCAGGTGTCATCTGCGTCCTCGGCCCATAAGAGTCATAGGCCCCACGTTGGGTAGGTGAGGTACCCATATGTCCGCCCATATGAGGAAGCGATTGCTGATATCGGAGAGGATGTATTTGGGGTGCTTGTGGAAAATGTGCCGATTGTGGTGATCTGTGGCTGCTTTGATCGAATGATGGCGAATGACCCGGTTGGGTATTGATACGTTGCGAAAAGTAAGGTTCGCGAGATGATATTCCACTAGGTGGAGGGGAAACGAATGTGAAATTACCGCTATTATTATATGTCCCTGTTGGGGAAGCAAATGAATTGGGATAAGATTGGTCGAAATTTCTCGGAGGATATGCGTCTTGCGGACTGAGTTGTTGACTGTAAGTAGAGCTATGCTCTGAACCGGTTCGAGGACGCTTGTTAGGTCCTTCGTCACTGTAAGATGATCCTAGAGAGATTGAAGATTGTTGGGATTGATGAGTGTATGGGCGAGATGCTCCAACTGGACGAGCATCATAGGCAGCAGGTTGTACATGTGCCTGTTGGTGAATTGGTAGGTTTGTGGTTTCGATCGGTTCGACGTGGCTTTGTCTGGAAGATTCTTGTTCTTCCTGTCGTTCTTGACCAAAGCTCTGAGTTCGACTCTGTTGGGGGCGAGTGGAGGTATTCGAGGAACGAGGGTTATATTGTCTCGGCTGGTAATCGTCAGAAGCTGGTCCACGCTTTTTGAGCAAGGTCCGAGGTTCCTTTCTTAGCCTTAATCTAACCCCCTGATCACTGAATGATCTTGTAAGAAACGTAGACTCCGACATTCCAGGAAATGTCTTTTGGGGGTGCACAATAAAAGGATCGGATTGCGTAGATTGAATGTGAAAACATTCTTTGTCGCGCATCTCGTACAGGTTAAATTGTAACCGGAAAGTACCTTCAAGCTTGATGGACAAATCGCCGAAAACAAAAAAGGCGCCATCATTGTTGCTCGAGTCTTTCAAGCGGTGTAACGAAGATACGAGAGTGCCAGCTAAAGCCGTCCCTAACGGCCCTGATGGTAAATTGCCTTCCGACGCGCCGACGAGATTACATGACATAAAGAAATAAGGACCTGAAGAGTGGAAGTTAGTAAGTAGACAATACTTAGCTTGGAAGAACTCGTACTTTGCAAATAATTTTGTGAAGGGTCCGATTGAGGAGAGATAATCAGCTGTATGATTGGCGGGGGATCAACAGGCTTGCGGTCTTTGAAGATGGTGTTAGCTACAACTTCTTTGGCACAAAGGCGGCGGCGTCTAGGGAATTTACCTTTCTCTTTCCCAACAGCGACCTTTGCGTGCAAGGGCTTTTGCCTAATGTGAAGTTCGCAGTGCTCACTATACACAGCATTATTTAGTACAAGTTGTGGGGAGATGATAGGAAGGGAAGCTTTCGGTAGCTGTACATACCTTCTCAAACCCTGGATCCTGGCAGTGGCTGCATCTGCAAATTGGTGGGTGGACTGAACGACACTCATCCTGATGGTAGTGCTCAGCACTAGGATTCTGAGAATCTGTATGATCGAAAGCACCCCTTTAGAAGTAAAGATTGGTCCCAAGCTGGATTATATGTCGATGAACGGTAGAAGCAGCTTTGTCCTGGGATATGGATTAATGGTAAGATGGGGTAGAGCTAAAATAGAAGGCCCTCGAACTGCATAACCGCTCAAAATAGTGTCATAGAAAGATATTGGCGGGGATATAGATGTGCTCAAGACCTGTTTGAAGCCCAGAGGCAAACCGGGTAGGGCTTGAGCTTTGACTTTTGGGCGGTTCGACGGCGTAAACGGTTCCACGAAATTGAAGTTGAGGTAAGGATCTGTACCAGCAGATGAGTGATGCGATGCGCCGAGCGCTTTAGGGTTTGATGCCAGTTGGGGGGGTGAACGTTTTGGAGGCTCTTCTCGGGGGTAAGTATCTGCAGCTGCGGAGGAGTTCTGGAATAATCAGTGCGCGGAGTTTTGAACCAATGTAAAATGAAGACGGAGTCAGCCGGGATGACGAAGACGTAGGCAAGGCTGATCGACGATATCGCACGTCAAGGGGACGCTTCTTTGCTTTAACAGCGACCAGAGCAAAGTCCAGATGACGAGTGGTCGTTGGAGCTCGAGGTCAGTAGTACCGTGTCTTGGGCTGGCCAGCTGGCAGAGGTACTCGTTCTTCTGAGGTAACGTGCAGAAGGGAGGAGATGGACGAGCTAATAGTCGGTCTTGATAGGACCGCGCCTGGGGGAATTAAAGCTGTGTGGGAGGAGCAAAAGATAGTCAGGGTCGGAGAATTGATTGGGTGATGGGGAGGTGTGGACCTTGACCGTTACGCAGAATGGGTCGTCCTAGGTACCTAGTCGAGACGAGGACTAACTGGCTGTGGCCTAGCGGACGACTGCCGCAGCCGGATCGAGTAATATCAGAATCCAAGTGGACCGTGACGTTCACAGTTCGAAGGGACGGCCGGAATGTGCAAAGGTCACCGGAGTCCAGACCAGACCAGATCGAGGCCGCGCTGGAGCTACGGGCCTGATGCGATGATGGTCGAAGGGGGAGCAGAGGCCCAAGGGGCGCGCGAATAGACAATGATCTGCTGGAGACGTCGAGATGGGCAACGAGGACGACTGTTACAAAGCTTCGTGTGCGCGTGTGTGAGAGCCGGCCTGGCGATTGGCGTTCCGACGAGACAAGATCCACTGCGCGTCGAGGTACTCGTATTGACAGCGTCGCGGGAGAGGTTCCAGACGGGGAGATCGAGCTTCTGATGCCGTGTCGAGGACTGAGTAGCTGCGTGGTGAGCCGCGAGGGGAGCGGCGTGAGGTATGAGGTTTCTCTGCAGTCCGATGGAAGTAGCTGTATGTTGTGCTGTGGTGCTGGATGGACGAGGTGTGAGCCCAAAGCGAAGTACCAGAGACCCGTCAGAAGGTTGTATGGTACACAGCAGTGAGCAGGCAAGTAGCAGGTACCTCCAGCGCGCTCGAAGCGATGTCGTTTCCTTTTGAGACGTATGAGGATACTTCGCGGCTAGTCCCAACGCTTCCAGCTCCAGGTCCAGCTGCTCCAGCAGTCCAGGATGTGAGGGCCCTGGTAAAGACGTGGCTGCCACAATCTGAGCGTTTGCGGCAAACAGAGATTGGAAATGAGCAGGCGGTACTTGAGGTCAGAGTCGAGTTTAGCTCGTAGGCAGATCCACGCAGGCATCCCAAGACCAAGGTACAGAGCGGTGCAGAGGATACTTGAGACGTGGTAGGGGTGGAAGATGACCTCGAAGGGGAGATGACGAGAGGTGATGGAAAAAGACAGTACAGAGTACAGTAGTAGCAGTAGCAGGTAGCAGGTAGCAAGTAGCAGACAGAGTCCGTACCAGAAGCGAGTACAAGTGGAGGCTCTGACCCTTCGCGCACCTGGGCACCCAGCAGACGATCGAGGTCGAGAGGTCGATAGAGAGCGAGCACCAGCAAGCTACAGGTATGTACCTCCACAACCACAGCTGCTACCACAGGTGCCAGATGCCAGATGCCAGATGCCAGATGCAGCTGTACAGAAATTGCAACGGAGGCAGACGAGACGTGCTTTGCACGTTCCAATACCACCACCAGTTCGAGCTCGTCTACCTGGTCACGTCTCTCTCAACGGCACCGGGAAGACTCGCTGCGACTGGCAAACCCCCAAGAACGGTGTCGATTAGGCCTAGGGCCTCTCCACTCAGCCATTCTCCAGCCAGTTCGCTCCCCTCTTTGCCCTGCGCTTTGCTCGTCTGGGACCAGCAGGCACGGCACAGACCAAAAGTGCCGGTGGAGGCGAGAATTCATACAGCAGCAGCAACATCCAGCAGCAACATCGAGCCACACAACATCCCCGCCTCACCTCCACCCATAATACAGTACATATTACAGTATCCTCGCAACTTCAACAGGCCTTCCAACACGCCGACGCGACGGATTAGCACCCGGCATGTCATAGTCAGCGTGTGGATGCGGCGATTGAGCGTTTTGATATCATACCAAGCCCCTCTTATAGGTTCTTTCGACGCAACTTACCGCTTTGGTGTATTATCGACACTTCACGGCTCGTCAAAATCTCAACTTCGACGATCCCGGCGAATGCCACCCACCGAGTCTTCGCCATGGCCTTGATCAACTATCGCTGAGGGCGAAAACCACCCTGCTGCTCCTGGCGGCGGCGGCGAGCGGCGGGCAGAGCTGCTACGGCTCTTCCTCTGCGAGAATGGGATCATTGGACACCGACACGCGCTGCGCGGGGACAGGCACAACCGGGGGGCCAGGAGCGAAGGGGGGAGAACTCTGGTAAGGACGTTCATGGGAGGGGATGCGAGCGGTGTTGATTGCATTGCCATCTGCTCCAAATCTGGAGACGAGGCCAAGCTACCCACCACGGGCGTTCAATGGCCCTGGCGGGTTGGGCTGATGTTGGGATAGATTGCGCTTCTCGGTCGAATGTCGTCTCGTCTCCCGTTTTCGATAACTCGATGTGGCTGCTGCTTGGAACTCCTTTTCTCTGGTACGAACGACTTGTCGCCTGGGTCTTGTGGCATCGACGTTGAAAATCGGCAGCCCACAGACATTTCAACGGGATCGTCTGAGCGCACATCACGACTGCAACAGCATCGAACTCCGAGGACCTGGGGGGCAGCAGAGCTCAGGGGAGCTTCCAAAAAAGGTCCCGCCATCCATATCCATACCCCTTGCCCATGCTCGCTGCCCTCGACAAGCTTCTCGGCACGCTCACCATCCTCGCCTGGGCCAAAAGGGCCAAAGGAATCCCGATGTGCGAACCTCGATGCAGACGGCACCGCAATGGAATATCAACGCGCAGCGCACACAAGCACAATCCTCAGTCAGTCAGAGTATACATTGTATCTCCACCGCCCGCCAAAGACAGATCTCGATATGGCAGATGTCGTTGAGATGCAGATTCCAGAACTCATATGCCAGATGTTCCTTTCCGCGGCCCCCTCTCCGCGACCTGCCCTGCAGTGCTATGTCATGCGCAGTGCTCTCCCCTGGCACTATTGACCGTGCGTATCTGCCAAAGAGGCTCTCGATTCAATAATCAAGTATACGGAGTACATCCAGGGTCACTCCGTATTCGTGCTGGCGCGGAGAAGTGGCGATAGCTTCACGAAGTGCTCTTGCCCAGATACGGAGGTTCACCGCGTTCGCCTTTTCTTTTCATGGCACTGTTGTTTCGCATTGTTATCGAATATGACTCCTCTCGGATTATTTTATTCACGATTCAAACAGAGCCGCAAATGCATCCTAATGTGGCAATATTTTCTACCTCTTTTAGGTCTTGTTTTGCGTCTACCGGAAATGACTGCGGCATCCTAGGCGCGGGTACTAGTCGATGCGGAGCGCGGCAAACACCAATAATGGGGTCGAAAAGTGAGACCAGACTGGGACATTTTCACAACGACACTGAAATTCGAAGCATCGTGCAGTAATAATGCGCGTTTGTCGCTCTCAACATTTGTGCTACGTGAGTATTCTACTTCTCTAGCTCCGTCATGGAACGATAGCCACATGTGGTTTGATTTTCTGCAGATCCTATGTCCCTTAAATGAAAATCTACGACCTGTTGCCTCGTTCAGCAATCGCTATTCCAGTTGCGGGCACGTATCAACATACTTCTGATCCAGATCTCGTTTTAAATCCCACAATAATGGGCAAGCGACATTTTTTCCATGAACAGGCTCCAGTCGGAAGTGGAGATTCTCCTGTTCCCTTTTCAGACATTATTTGACATGGTTCAAGGTTGACAGATCTGTTCACCGTCGTACAGATGATTTGCAGGATGCCAGCCCAAACTCTACAGTATCAACTCGAGCCACCTCCCCACGTATCGACAACGATAACGTGCTATTGTCCGGGGTGCGAACGCTAGAGTCAGAAAAGTCAGGGTTGAAAATTATTTGAATTCCTTTCTCGGAAGCGGGATGCGTCGCTTCACAGAGCAACCAATAGCCTGACGCGTAGCAGTGTTAAAGGCTGGAATGGTCAAAAACGAGAAATTGACAGCGGAAATGGACATTACTACTTTGGAATACTCCGACGACCTATTCTCGCTTGCTCGACAAGACCTCCGGTCTACTGCCGAAGCACATCATTCAATCACCCGCTTCTTTCGCTATTGATAACAGATGGCAGCCCTCTAGTCGCGACGGTCCATTGCTGAATTTCCATAAGAACGACAATTTACAACAGAACGGATTTCCTATTGGTTTCATGCAAACCAAGTGTCCTCCAAGTCTAAACATTTTGCATCTTTTTTTGCGTTGCTGGGTCTTGTCCCGCTGCACACAGACGAAAGACTGCATTTCTTCCAGGCGCGCCTTCTTCGAACGAAGTTCTTTTCTTCCTTTGTCGCCATAGGTCAGAGCAGAGCTGGGCAAACCCCAAATCATCCCACCATGGACTGGATTTCTTTGAGCGCTCGGTCCAGCCGCTCGTGCACTATGTCGGTCGTCCCTGGTTCGACTTGACATCTTCGGAGGATCGCCGAAGCATGGTCATCCGTCCATATCTGGAACCACGTCAGGATAACGCTTCATCCGAACTATCACTTGGCTCGCTTGTACCTGTATCTTGACTTGAAGCATCTCGAGTGGCCAAGACGGCGAACCACAAATTGCAGTGAGGTGTTACACCTGTTGGTGGAAATTTATTAGAGGTATTCATTTTCACGATCAAGAGACATGCAAATGGTCAAGAGACATGCATTTCGCTTCTTGATCGTTACGTAAAGGACAACTTTACGTTCAGATTTCGAGCTCTGTGGTATTGCTATCATTGGCCGTATGATGCTGAAGAAGCTAACAGATACCTTCCAATGATGGAGACTCTATTTGTGAAATAACGGGCCAGCTATTTCACAAAATGCTACAGGTGCAAGCTGCCGCGATTCTCATTGGCCAATGGTTCGATGTGCTCAATGTCATATTGAGCAGCTTTAGCCAAGTGGGACTCGTACGAACTCCTGATGTCGTTCCTGTTACTGACAAGGAAAAGAAAGTATTATTCCCCATCAATAATATCGATACTCGACTTGTACAGCTTGAACCTTGCAGTATTATAGCAGCACAGCTGTTCTATAACCAAGACGCCAGGCACCACGCATAGTTCGAGTATTATAGGGAGTAAGATCGAGCGATCCACACCTTCGGGGTTACCTTCGAATCTTGGTACGAGCTACACGACTCCAACACAACATCTTCATCAAGTATTGCCCACTTCTCTCACATTTCATCCTAAGATTCACAAGACATCAGAGCTATTCGCGCTCTCTCTTACCGATCCCCAGTCGTCAAAAACTTAAGTAAGCTTATTATTACGCCATGCTCGAGCTTCCAAAATCTCCGACCAAATTTCTAGAATAAGCTTCATCGAGCTCGAGCCCAACTCAATCTCAGCCGCTGCGGGACAAGTTATCTCCGCTAACCGAAACAGCCGAAGATTGATGGTGGGTTTGCTTTGCAGCATGTCTCAATGAAATGGCGCCGCGAGCACGGTACTGCGGGGAGCCGCGCCCAGCATACGAGAAACGTTTATTATTCGCACGCGCTTTTCAATACACAAGACGCGTTATCATCCACTTTATTCAACGTGTGTTCGAGAGACCGCATCTGTCGAGATAACTGTTGGGGTACTGGGTATTCAACACATCGAGTGCCTGCCATGGTACTCATACCATTCTCTGAACCCTGTATGTTCCGCTGCAGGGCTGATCCATACCCCCGGAGCTGGCTAGGATCTGAAGCAACACACTGGCGTCCGTTCATGCGACGCGGTGGTCGTTGACTGGTCCCGAATCATCGGCCAACAAAGAATGCGGCTTTTTGTTACCATATCCCGAATTCAACACCATCTCCATGGCGAACGAAGTGCTATACAACATTTCCTCCTTGCCAATTTCAGTAGGCGCATCGATTGTGTCATATGCTTGGTCACTTCCGCTATGAACAAGATAAGTTCACTCTGTTCTGTCCACCGAGACTTTAAACCCAAACACTCAGTCGCTGTGTGAAGTAGAATCATACATCGGTAGTATTCTCACTTGACTATTACACTACCGTTATATGATTCAGTACGTAGCCCATCCAAGAAAAGCTCCAATTCTCTCCAGACATGTGCATTTCTCACAGCCTTCTGTGACACAAGTCACAAGTATGTATAGACAGAAATGATAGAAAGGCATTGCGCAACTATTTGACCTTCACAAAGTAACGCAACATGTCATCAGCACATTACGTCCTTGGATCTGCTTTGAGAATTGTCTAGTACGCTTCTCAGCTTGCAAGATCTTCTGCGAGTTAGTGGATGATTGAACCATGGGTAAAGACGGCTGCGGCCGCTCGAGATATTTAAACATGGCAGCGAGCTGATTGAGCCGAACTGAGTTCTTCATCGTCTCAGATAAGCGAAAGCTCTTCGAGCACCTCACTACGGAATCGGCGGAATTACTTACGACAAAATATAGCATCTTTCCAACCGAGGTACTCAGTCAAACCCCCCTCTGTTGGAGGGATCGCCATCTGTTCGCTCAGCGACAAGGATCGTATTGTCTGTGGCGCCATTGTGCCTTGGAGTTACATTTTTTTCCTCAAAGAGGATAAGGAGCTTTCACTTCCGCTATCTTTAACACAGTCGAGCCGTCCGCTCGGTTCCATGG